AGTGCTATAGCATATGCTGTTCAAGGCGCCGGTCACGTTTTTCAGCTTTACCCAAAGTTTCATTGTGAGTGCAATTTCATTGAACGCTATTGGGGTGCTGTTAAACGAGAAGTGCGTAAGCGATGCAACTACACTTTTGCAAGCCTCAAGAAAACTGTCCCCGAAGTTCTCGATAGTATTCCGCTGCCAATGATCCATAATTTCGAGCGTAGAGCATGGAGATACATTAAGGCATACCATGATGGTTTAGAAGGTCGTGATGCTATTGATGCTGTAAAAATCTACACATCTCACAGAAGAGTTCGAAAGAACATGTAAATATATCTATCCATTTCATATGCGGCATTTGAAAAATAGCGGGGATTTAAATTAAAAAATTGACAGTAATTTTTGCTGGAGGTATGGTTTAAGGTGGCGTGCACCATACCTCTATATTATACTTGTTTACAAATCGCCATATATTAGTAAGAATACAAGCAACACGAAGCTGAATATTATAATATCTTATATCGGTTATTTGCAATACTGCACGATTATTATTAAATCGTTCAAATTTAGAGCCTAACATAGAGAACTGTGCTTCTATTGCTGAACGAAATGATCCAAACTTGTTATTAAAGTATGTCTCATTGATTGTTAACTTTTGTCCTGGTTCTTTTCTTATGGGATGTAAAAAATTACGATCATAAAAACTATATCCAGCATCTGTTGCATTATCTTTAAACTTTTGTATAAATAAGTTATATCCACCATCCATTCCTAAACAATCTGCCTCACTTATTTTTTTATATAGTTTCATATTACAGTCGACCCCCGTTAACGTCCACCCCGATAACGTCAACCTCCGATAGCGTCAACTGATTCGCTGGTACCCTTTCAAATTTAGCAGTGAAAAACTTCAACTTCTACATAAGGTCAACTTCAACACCTTCAGGAGGGTTGACTAGTTATCGAGGGTGAAACTTGTCCAATTAGATTACATTAATTGGGACTGTGGTACAAAATAATTTGTCAAAGAGGCTTGCTTAGAAGCATTCACAACAGTATCATGTAGATCTTGCTCTTCATTTAAAATATCGAGAAATGTGTTGATGTTGGTAACTTTGTCTTTAGCAGTAAATACTCTTCTTTTTTGCAGAACTGGCTCTTCGTCAACATCTGGGGTGTCATCATCTTCAGCAACTGCCGTCACTGTTTGAACAATCTCACTATCTGTGAGAGAAAAGAGATATGAATCGCGCTCATAAGTTATTTATAATGGCGGGAAGCGGTGATTCATTTAGTGTCTGCAAGGATAAACATTTTGCCTAATCTCGCTACTCCCGGTAGTCGTCAACCCTCGATATAGTCAACACTTTTGCAGGTACCCTGAGGGTTGACGTTAACGGGGGTCGACTGTAATAAACATAGTACCATCATTTCCGATAGCACATTTTTCAGATACTGAAACATGTGTAATTATTTCATTCATATCCTGTATAACTTGTGTACGTACAGCTGGCCCTTTTAATTTATATAAATATAACTGTGAATGTGACTCATTTGGTTTATAATACTTTATTTTACTATCATGTCCATCAATAAATAGTGTAACATTCTTAAAACCATCTGGATTGTTTATTATTGCTGATAGAATGCGAATACGTGGTGATGAGAACATACTATCTAGATCTTGTTTTACCTTTTTATTCAATTCATTATAGTTAGTAATCCAGAGCCGCTTATATAAATCATAAAATGTTGCATATGGCATAACAGTATGCATATCCTTTCCTGATACACCTGATACCATATGATATAATAATGCAAGTCCTTTTTCAATCTCGCGGTATGGCCCTGGATATTCAATATTTCCATATAAAACTGTAAGAAAATAAAATACAGGTATAAATCCAAATCTATTAAGTAATACATCCTTTATATCTTTTATTGTATTATTCTTCATATCTTTAATAGCTGTTCTATGATTAAATCTATGTTGCATTTCAGGCTAAGATTTATCAAGAAAAGTCCATTTATTATCAATTAAATTTTTAATTTCAATATCGAGTTGCTCAGTGTGTTGTGTTGTGTTCATTTTTATTTGTTGTTATGTACTTTAAACAATCGCTCTTTTTTTTCTCGTGGGAGGCTACCAATATAAATAAAAAAATTCAATTTTTATTATTTTTATTGTAAATCAATAATTAATTCGGCCACTGATGGTTATACCGGTCATAGCAATTTTATTATCTATATTACAGCTAGTAGATTATATTTGGTTAGACAACTAATAGCAGGAAGCCTTTGCAGAATTCGACGCACGCAACGCTTTGAATACCCAGAAGTTGTCGATGCATTCCAAACAAACGTCCTCCCCATGTATGAGCTAATTCTCAAGGCAAAGGCCGTAATGGCCGAAAACGTCGAAATAGTGCAGCAACGAGAACCAAGTACCGACTTACTACCAACCATACAACACACCTTCCAACTACCGCCGTGCCCTCCCTCACCTAAACCGTCCAAAGCTCTCCTTTCATCTTCTTCCGCATCACCCTCCAATCCCCGTAAGCGTCCGTCAAGCGACCACACATCCGAACCATCATCATCATCGCATAAAACCCAAAAGCGCATTTTTTAATAAGTACTCTTCCCATATGATTAAACAACACTTTATTCAATCTCAAAATCTAAGAAGTTCTCATCCATCTCAGACTCAAAGAAATTGTAAGAGTTCAGTGTAAGTCACATCTAGAATTTAAAAAGGAAGGGGATCTAAGTGCTATACACATGTGCCGAAAAAATCCTTGCACAACCGAGGCGTATTGTAAATGACCCGATTTCTTTTGTATGCTGCTGTATAAACTCGTTTTTGATGCGCTAAGCTGCGCTGCCAGCATTTCTTGATGAGGGCGACTATAAAGTATCTGCTTCATGCAGTTCACATGGGTATTTAAGTTTTTGGTGATAGGCTGATAACAGTAAATAAAGCTGACACATTAGGTCGGGCTAATACGATGGGAGATATAGGAAGGGGATGGGGGTTGTGTAGGTGTTGTGGCTCTTACTCAAGCTGTTTAGCCAGTTAAAAGAAATTAATGTTGCAATGATGGGTTTAAGATAGGAAGAGTCCTATTTTTTTAGCATCAATATGTAAACGCCAATACATGAACGTGCTGAATTTCTAGTTTGCACAGACACTTGACAGTCTATATGATATAGACATAGTACTTTCCACCTAGGATTTCAGAAGTAAAAAGCATTCTGCAAGATCAAAAAGATACATACTGTTTATGATATCAAAAAACTTCAAAGAATGGAGCCCTTCATTACAGAGATATTACATATACATATGTGGAGTATCTTTTCATGCATTCGCTAATAGATATCGTAGAAATAACACATGGTCTACGCCAAATAATCAGGTGCTGCTGTTTATTGATTATTGTTACTAGTTAGTTTCCGCCCTTTGTTAGTTTCTCAGGATACATGCGAAATTTATTGAATAGATTCCACAGCTCTATCGAGTGTTCCATTTTTTTACCCTGACAAAAGGCGACAACCGACTGTGTTCGTCCCGTAGACTTCTGCGAGCAAATATACTGTAGTACAGTAGGTTAAGTATTACATTCTCGTTCTCTAGACGATTGGGCAAGATAGTTGACCATGTGCATATACATTTACATTTACATATACATAGATATACACTAACTATGGGACGGGGTCCCTAGAGGATAACAGACCGACGGTGCTGTGGTGGTTTCTAAATCGTTATAGCAGCACACGACAAAGGAAAATGTAAATTGTGACCCATTAAACGGTAAGGCTAGCTGTTCCGCTTTTATGTACGCCTGTGGAGTACAAACCATTTTTTGTGACAGAGCTACTTTGATCATCTGCAGCCAGATGCCGTCGGTGGCCTATCCAAGGACTGTCCTGCTCTAAAACTACATTGGAGGAGGGAAATGAGCAGCAGGCCAGATACTAAGATCAATAGTACCTGCAGATGCTGGTCGTGCTCTTCTTTGATTGCATTTTCACTTTACCCCCTTTTATCGGACGCTGCGGAACATCGCGTAAGTGATGCGGAAGATTGATATTGAAAAAGCTGAGGGACTGAAGCGAAAGTAATAATTCACTGATGATGTGTCAAGACTTCAATCTGCACCGATACTGATAAACAATCTTCTTTCCACTGTTTTGACATAGCTGTCCCTTTTTTCTACAGTATATACATCACACCGAAAGTCATGATTCGTTCACACTGTAGGTAAATTTAGAACAGCCATTGGCATGTGATAGGGGAGAGAAAATGTCTAGAATGGAATGGATGCAGTGTCTCGGTCACTATAACATTTGCGTTTGGGCGTGTGTACATATGAAAAGAGAGCTAGAGTGTATGAAAAATGAAGGTTAAGTTCATCTGCTAATAGTAGTGTACCGTAGTTGCTTCCTCGTATTTGGGTCTCTCTAGGTTCTTCTGCACACACACGTAATCTGGCGGACGGACGAACGAAGGAACTCTACGTTAGTATACTTTATTGGACTGCTGCAGCTGTTCTTTTTCTTGTTACTCACACAGACATCAGGCTTACGGACTTTTTCGTTTCTTGTCGCCCAAGTGAAAATGATGGTTCTGAAGGTGTTTGGTTCAAGAGATGCCAAACAGTTACGCAACAGCACAATATTGAATCGGTAAGCGATCCGTGTATGTATGCTTGTCCGCAACTAGGTCAAACATAACAATGTTTGCCTAGGTAGTGATTCTCATGGCTTTAAATGCACAGCAATAATGTGAAGAGGAGCGAAATAAAGTAGCTAGGGTAACCAATATTGATTACAATAGGAATATATCAAGCATCAACCAGACTGGAATTTGAAAAAAGGGTTCTCGTGTAGAGTCTACCCAGTGACACGCCATCGAAGCAATCTGGAACAACGGTTTCGTCCTCCTTTTTGGATTTTTTCTACTGGTACCTGCGTGGAGGACAAAATTCTTGAATTCGCGATGAAATGTCAATATGAGCAGTAAGTTTTCAATACTTGTAAATGCCCCATATATAACGAAAACGACTTTTCATGTCTGATACCTAAGCTCTATATATAGTGCTTGTCATGCAATGATTATAGATGTGAATGATCCTTCTTGGTCTGAATACTTCACCGGTGATGAACTTGAAGAAATCAGCAATCACAATAATCCAGCACTACCAAAAGTGTCAGAGAAGGTCAAGAACCATCTCGACCTCTTCCGCACCTTCGACGCAAGCAAAAATCCCAATGGCAAGGTGAGACAACCTGGGAACTATCTATCTAAGTACGTGATATCGACATACTGACGTACATACGTAATATCATTACAGACTACCGAAGAGTTGATGGCTTATCAAGTCAACAATACCGGGCTTGACTACAAGGAGGATTTTGATCTGATTTGGATCAATAACAGCATCGCCCAAGCAACGGAATTGTATCGATGGGCCTACTTCCCGTTAACCGATCATTCCGAGGGTGATCTTTTGCGCCGTGTCTGGCAATTTGTAGACACTTGCTTTGATGATCAGAAAATACAAGTTCGAGGGTAAGTGAAGTAATGAGAACATGGAGCTTAATGCTAAATGATGGTCGAATAATAGTGGGGAGAAAACAAGCGCTGCGTCCGCATTACGCAAGAATGAAGGTCGTAACAACGCTGGTGTGGAAGCCATGACCCGTAAAGCATTGGGTCACCGTGGTGACTTGATTTTTGTCAAGTCAGGGCTTGAATTGGGCTGTGGTGAGCTCGGCCGGTACGACCGTGGGCCAAAAGGGTCGAAGGAGATGCGTGAGGGGTTCCTAAAGACCCCAAAGATGATGAAAGATGAGTTGTGCGCGCTCATTGCCAAGTGTCCCGACCAAGTTGCCAAGTTGAGGATTGTCGGATTTATCTCAATGGGTAATTTGGAAACTTGTTTAATCTATATCTAATGATTTGCACGATTCTAATCCATCATGTTTCAGGGCTTACATTGCAGATGCTTATCATGGACTGCCCCAAGGGCAATGTTTGAGGACCGGCCATGGTTATGATAGTTTTAATGCGATCTAATAGCCATATATAGTTTATAAGCTAAGGTATGCTAGGATAGCCAAAGTAATTTTTATTAAAATAATTTATTCACAAATGTCTTGGCATGCATAATTTAAAAATTTCAAAAAAATAAAAATCGAATTTTGAATAAATATAAAAAGAACATCCTACAATGATTCAACCACCTGCAAATGATGTTGTATTTAATAATGATAAAATTGTTATTGATACAAAAAAATTACAAAATTATTTATCTAAATATAATATTAATATAAAAAACTTTTGTGAAGAAAATATACATGAAAAATATAATATTGAATATATAGAGAAAAAAAATAAATTAAATATTAAAAGAAAAGCGTCTGAAAAACAAAAATCAGCGTCCAAATCAAATTTAAAAAATTCTAATGATCAAAAATATAATAATAATATAATTAAAAAAGTTGGGAATCTAAGAAAAGAGAATTATGAACTAAAAAAGAAATGTAACATATATGATAATTATTACGAAAAAATAAATGAAGAAGATTTAAAAAATAAAAATTCTCAGGAAGAATTAACAAATAAGGAGGAGATGTCTTATGAAAATTCTCAGGAATCCTCAATTCCTCATATTTCCGAAGCAATGTTAGATGGTAACACCTCTAGTGCGGTTACCTCACAGGGTGGACTAATTAATAGTGAAGATGAGGAATGTCAATTTTATTGCTTAGAGCCATGTGATGATTGTAATGAAAAATTATGGAATACATATCAATGTAACTTTGCAAATGATGTAATAGAAAAACTCGAAAAGGAAAAACATAAATATAAAATGTTCTTTACAAGATATTTTAGCTACTATACTGATTTAATAAAAGCTAAAGAGTTAAATAGAAACGATATCATGCAAGCATGCCAAGATAAGTTACAAGAACTGATTCAACAATATATACAATTATACATTGAAGAACATGAAAGTAGTAGTGAATATAAATATAACTGGGCAAGTAAACGAAAGGTTGATACAGTCAGTTTCAATATGAGATTTTTTAATAAGCAAATAAGTAAGAAATTAATTTAGAGCTGAATACCATGTGTGGCCATATATTCATGTAGCATTTCCCGGGAATTAAACTTATCAACTGTTAACCAACTATTATCCTTTACACTATATCCAACCCACTTAACCTCAAATATGTACTTATTATCAGTATACACATGTCCTACAATCTTCTCAATTTCATATGAATTACTATGTTCTATATTTCTCTGTTCTTTTTGATTTTTTCTCTTGCGTTTAGATGTATTATTTTCAGTTTCGTCCTCACTATCTGTAATCATATCTATTGATTGATTAATGTTAAGCTGTAGAAATTTCTGCTGCATGTCAACCATTTCGTTATATTCAGTATTTACTTTTTGCTCATTTGAAAATACTAAGTCAAGTTTGTTTTTCTTACTTGGGAATTCAAAATCTTTTCCATACCATAATTTATGATGTGGTTGTATGGTGCACGCCACCTTAAACTGTACCGCTTTAGTGGGTAACTTTAAAGTACTGTGAAACCATCTCACCACCCCATATCAAAATTTTAAACCGATAAAAATGTTCCTTTTGACCAGGAGAACAAAGTTATCGGTTTGGATTTTTCATTTTTCTAATAAAGTTTTGAGTTACCGTCGCTCAAAGTCGGAACAAGTTTATAAGTGATGGGGAAAATTGACAGTAGTTCGAATCCAGCTTAAACCAATCAGGAGCTTTCGTTTGTTCGGCAAATATATATGCCGAATTTGTATTACATGAGATCTTCACCGATTATCGATTATACTGTTACATATTGCTGCGTATAGAAATTTCGTCAGTAGATTGTAGTCTTATGCACCTCTTTCTTTTACAAAGAATCTTATATTCATTATGGGAAGCGTCAACAGACGAAGTCGCCTTGTCAAAAACAACCAGCAACGTGTGCAAAGTGGCCAATTCGGCAAAAAACTACCTGAACCTACGGATAGCTCACGCGCTAGCTATAGCAGCGATGATTCTTCCGATGATTCTTGTGAATACGACGATACTAATGGGTTGGAACATGAAAGAGATGATACTGTACTAGAACGTTCAGGAACTCGTTTGCTTGAATGGTTTCAAGGTGCCGACAATAAGCTAAGAAGCTCGTATACTGGTATATATTCTCTTAATTATGATAGCAGCACAATGAAACACATACAAATGGTCTATTGCATCCTGAGAAAAATATTGACAATGTTGGGTGAATGTAGGCAAATCAGAAAGTACTTATTATCGACGAAAACGGGATGCTAAGGAACTCGCTACCCATGTAGAAAAAATGAGACGGCTCACTGATATGGGATTTACTAAGATTCAAGATCCTGTGGAAACGAGCAACAGCAGCAGTGATGATGAAGATGCCGACGTTGAAATCGATGAAGAGCTGGAGATGTTAAAGATCGTGCGGCCTGCTTTGATCCAATTACGCAAGGATATCAAAAATAAGAAAACCTAAATAAGCATGATGTCAACTATTGAGGCCAACAAATACCTTAGCATCGAAAAATATGCCAAGCTCCGGATCGACGATAACATGCGTATTATGGAGACAACACGATTGGTTGCAGATGCCATTTGGGAGAAACACACTAAACATTTGCTGACAAGAATCCGTTGGTGGACCAAAGAGTATCTTGAAACCGGCAAGATTTGCGTTAATCGCCAAGGTGCTCATGTTAAGTCTGCGTCACTTTTGGCTGATGAAAATGTCAAGGAGGCTGCTTGCACTTGGATCCGTAGTCGAAAGCCAGCAGAAAGGAGTATCCCAGAACTCAAGGTGGAACTAGAAACGAATATATTTCCGAAAGTATCCAATATCAGCAACGCAACAGTATCTGAGCGCACCATCACACGATATATGGCTCACTGGGGATTTGAGTATAGAGAAAGTGGAAAAGATGTACGTACATGGAAAATATCAACTATATATTAGCACATTAGATAGATGGCTAAACGTACTCCTTTTATAATTGTCGACAGATCTATTTTGATGGTCACGAAAGAGATGATGTAAAGGAGTACCGTGTTCGCTGGGCCAGGGCAATGATGGGATACCGCAAGAAGATGAAAAGTACACTGAAGATGGCGAGTTGGTCGAGCCAGTGTTAGAGGACGAAAACGACGTTGAGCTGGTGATGGTGACACACGACGAATGCATATTTTATGCAAACGATGACAAGAAAACCAATTGGCTTGCACAAGGCGAAACTCCCTTAAAGAAGAAAGGACCAGGAGCATCGTTGATGGTAAGCGATTTCTTGTGCCCATGTCATGGCCGGCTCATGCTATCAGAAGAGCTTCGTAGTCTCCCTGAGCATGCAGACATTCCATATGAAGCACGAGAAATCATTTTACCTGGTGCAAACCGTGAAGGCTATTGGAAAAGTGAAGATATGGTCAAACAATTAAAGGAAAAAGCAATTCCTATATTCCAGGCAATGCATCCTAATTGTAAAGGTATGTCTTTCTAATCATTATATCATATATACTGCATATTATTTAATACAGCATAATTAATCTCTTACCCGAACAGCTGTCTTTTGCTTTGACCAGAGTTCCAACCACAATGCCTACAGGGAGAACGCCTTACGGGCCCAAAAGTTCAATCTTAATCCTAAAAAAATCAGTCAAAAGCAATACTTGCGCGAACCATCAACTCGTATCCGGGATGGGTGGTTTTTTGATGAAAAGAACGAAATGATGTTTCAATTCATGTACAGAAGAATTGATGGCAAAATTCATCTGCGAGGCATGCGTGAAGTTAGTATTTTTGTACCATTAGTCACGAGACATAGCACTCACTGTTGTTTCATTCTTTTGTAGATTTTAGAAGAGAGAGGCCTTTGGAAACAAGGGATGCAGAAAAAGGAAGCAACAGAGGTTTTAAGTGCCCAGCTTGACTTCACCTCAGAAAAAAGTGCTATAGCATATGCTGTTCAAGGCGCCGGTCACGTTTTTCAGCTTTACCCAAAGTTTCATTGTGAGTGCAATTTCATTGAACGCTATTGGGGTGCTGTTAAACGAGAAGTGCGTAAGCGATGCAACTACACTTTTGCAAGCCTCAAGAAAACTGTCCCCGAAGTTCTCGATAGTATTCCGCTGCCAATGATCCGTAATTTCGAGCGTAGAGCATGGAGATACATTAAGGCATACCATGATGGTTTAGAAGGTCGTGATGCTATTGATGCTGTAAAAATCTACACATCTCACAGAAGAGTTCGAAAGAACATGTAAATATATCTATCCATTTCATATGCGGCATTTGAAAAATAGCGGGGATTTAAATTAAAAAATTGACAGTAATTTTTGCTGGAGGTATGGTTTAAGGTGGCGTGCACCATACCTCTATATTATACTTGTTTACAAATCGCCATATATTAGTAAGAATACAAGCAACACGAAGCTGAATATTATAATATCTTATATCGGTTATTTGCAATGCTGCACGATTATTATTAAATCGTTCAAATTTAGAGCCTAACATAGAGAACTGTGCTTCTATTGCTGAACGAAATGATCCAAACTTGTTATTAAAGTATGTCTCATTGATTGTTAACTTTTGTCCTGGTTCTTTTCTTATGGGATATAAAAAATTACGATCATAAAAACTATATCCAGCATCTGTTGCATTATCTTTAAACTTTTGTATAAATAAGTTATATCCACCATCCATTCCTAAACAATCTGCCTCACTTATTTTTTTATATAGTTTCATATTACAGTCGACCCCCGTTAACGTCCACCCCGATAACGTCAACCTCCGATAGCGTCAACTGATTCGCTGGTACCCTTTCAAATTTAGCAGTGAAAAACTTCAACTTCTACATAAGGTCAACTTCAACACCTTCAGGAGGGTTGACTAGTTATCGAGGGTGAAACTTGTCCAATTAGATTACATTAATTGGGACTGTGGTACAAAATAATTTGTCAAAGAGGCTTGCTTAGAAGCATTCACAACGGTATCATGTAGATCTTGCTCTTCATTTAAAATATCGAGAAATGTGTTGATGTTGGTAACTTTGTCTTTAGCAGTAAATACTCTTCTTTTTTGCAGAACTGGCTCTTCGTCAACATCTGGGGTGTCATCATCTTCAGCAACTGCCGTCACTGTTTGAACAATCTCACTATCTGTGAGAGAAAAGAGATATGAATCGCGCTCATAAGTTATTTATAATGGCGGGAAGCGGTGATTCATTTAGTGTCTGCAAGGATAAACATTTTGCCTAATCTCGCTACTCCCGGTAGTCGTCAACCCTCGATATGGTCAACACTTTTGCAGGTACCCTGAGGGTTGACGTTAACGGGGGTCGACTGTAATAAACATAGTACCATCATTTCCGATAGCACATTTTTTAGATACTGAAACATGTGTAATTATTTCATTCATATCCTGTATAACTTGTGTACGTACAGCTGGCCCTTTTAATTTATATGAATATAACTGTGAATGTGACTCATTTAGTTTATAATACTTTATTTTACTATCATGTCCATCAATAAATAGTGTAACATTCTTAAAACCATCTGGATTGTTTATTATTGCTGATAGAATGCGAATACGTGGTGATGAGAACATACTATCTAGATCTTGTTTTACCTTTTTATTCAATTCATTATAGTTAGTAATCCAGAACCACTTATATAAATCATAAAATGTTGCATATGGCATAACAGTATGCATATCCTTTCCTGATACACCTGATACCATATGATATAATAATGCAAGTCCTTTTTCAATCTCGCGGTATGGCCCTGGATATTCAATATTTCCATATAAAACTGTAAGAAAATAAAATACAGGTATAAATCCAAATCTATTAAGTAATACATCCTTTATATCATTTATTGTATTATTCTTCATATCTTTAATAGCTGTTCTATGATTAAATCTATGTTGCATTTCAGGCTAAGATTTATCAAGAAAAGTCCATTTATTATCAATTAAATTTTTAATTTCAATATCGAGTTGCTCAGTGTGTTGTGTTGTGTTCATTTTTATTTGTTGTTATGTACTTTAAACAATCGCTCTTTTTTTTCTCGTGGGAGGCTACCAATATAAATAAAAAAATTCAATTTTTATTATTTTTATTGTAAATCAATAATTAATTCGGCCACTGATGGTTATACCGGTCATAGCAATTTTATTATCTATATTACAGCTAGTAGATTATATTTGGTTAGACAACTAATAGCAGGAAGCCTTTGCAGAATTCGACGCACGCAACGCTTTGAATACCCAGAAGTTGTCGATGCATTCCAAACAAACGTCCTCCCCATGTATGAGCTAATTCTCAAGGCAAAGGCCGTAATGGCCGAAAACGTCGAAATAGTGCAGCAACGAGAACCAAGTACCGACTTACTACCAACCATACAACACACCTTCCAACTACCGCCGTGCCCTCCCTCACCTAAACCGTCCAAAGCTCTCCTTTCATCTTCTTCCGCATCACCCTCCAATCCCCGTAAGCGTCCGTCAAGCGACCACACATCCGAACCATCATCATCATCGCATAAAACCCAAAAGCGCATTTTTTAATAAGTACTCTTCCCATATGATTAAACAACACTTTATTCAATCTCAAAATCTAAGAAGTTCTCATCCATCTCAGACTCAAAGAAATTGTAAGAGTTCAGTGTAAGTCACATCTAGAATTTAAAAAGGAAGGGGATCTAAGTGCTATACACATGTGCCGAAAAAATCCTTGCACAACCGAGGCGTATTGTAAATGACCCGATTTCTTTTGTATGCTGCTGTATAAACTCGTTTTTGATGCGCTAAGCTGCGCTGCCAGCATTTCTTGATGAGGGCGACTATAAAGTATCTGCTTCATGCAGTTCACATGGGTATTTAAGTTTTTGGTGATAGGCTGATAACAGTAAATAAAGCTGACACATTAGGTCGGGCTAATACGATGGGAGATATAGGAAGGGGATGGGGGTTGTGTAGGTGTTGTGGCTCTTACTCAAGCTGTTTAGCCGGTTAAAAGAAATTAATGTTGCAATGATGGGTTTAAGATAGGAAGAGTCCTATTTTTTTAGCATCAATATGTAAACGCCAATACATGAACGTGCTGAATTTCTAGTTTGCACAGACACTTGACAGTCTATATGATATAGACATAGTACTTTCCACCTAGGATTTCAGAAGTAAAAAGCATTCTGCAAGATCAAAAAGATACATACTGTTTATGATATCAAAAAACTTCAAAGAATGGAGCCCTTCATTACAGAGATATTACATATACATATGTGGAGTATCTTTTCATGCATTCGCTAATAGATATCGTAGAAATAACACATGGTTTACGCCAAATAATCAGGTGCTGCTGTTTATTGATTATTGTTACTAGTTAGTTTCCGCCCTTTGTTAGTTTCTCAGGATACATGCGAAATTTATTGAATAGATTCCGCAGCTCTATCGAGTGTTCCATTTTTTTACCCTGACAAAAGGCGACAACCGACTGTGTTCGTCCCGTAGACTTCTGCGAGCAAATATACTGTAGTACAGTAGGTTAAGTATTACATTCTCGTTCTCTAGACGATTGGGCAAGATAGTTGACCATGTGCATATACATTTACATTTACATATACATAGATATACACTAACTATGGGACGGGGTCCCTAGAGGATAACAGACCGACGGTGCTGTGGTGGTTTCTAAATCGTTATAGCAGCACACGACAAAGAAAAATGTAAATTGTGACCCATTAAACGGTAAGGCTAGCTGTTCCGCTTTTATGTACGCCTGTGGAGTACAAACCATTTTTTGTGACAGAGCTACTTTGATCATCTGCAGCCAGATGCCGTCGGTGGCCTATCCAAGGACTGTCCTGCTCTAAAACTACATTGGAGGAGGGAAATGAGCAGCAGGCCAGATACTAAGATCAATAGTACCTGCAGATGCTGGTCGTGCTCTTCTTTGATTGCATTTTCACTTTACCCCCTTTTATCGGACGCTGCGGAACATCGCGTAAGTGATGCGGAAGATTGATATTGAAAAAGCTGAGGGACTGAAGCGAAAGTAATAATTCACTGATGATGTGTCAAGACTTCAATCTGCACCGATACTGATAAACAATCTTCTTTCCACTGTTTTGACATAGCTGTCCCTTTTTTCTACAGTATATACATCACACCGAAAGTCATGATTCGTTCACACTGTAGGTAAATTTAGAACAGCCATTGGCATGTGATAGGGGAGAGAAAATGTCTAGAATGGAATGGATGCAGTGTCTCGGTCACTATAACATTTGCGTTTGGGCGTGTGTACATATGAAAAGAGAGCTAGAGTGTATGAAAAATGAAGGTTAAGTTCATCTGCTAATAGTAGTGTACCGTAGTTGCTTCCTCGTATTTGGGTCTCTCTAGGTTCTTCTGCACACACACGTAATCTGGCGGACGGACGAACGAAGGAACTCTACGTTAGTATACTTTATTGGACTGCTGCAGCTGTTCTTTTTCTTGTTACTCACACAGACATCAGGCTTACGGACTTTTTCGTTTCTTGTCGCCCAAGTGAAAATGATGGTTCTGAAGGTGTTTGGTTCAAGAGATGCCAAACAGTTACGCAACAGCACAATATTGAATCGGTAAGCGATCCGTGTATGTATGCTTGTCCGCAACTAGGTCAAACATAACAATGTTTGCCTAGGTAGTGATTCTCATGGCTTTAAATGCACAGCAATAATGTGAAGAGGAGCGAAATAAAGTAGCTAGGGTAACCAATATTGATTACAATAGGAATATATCAAGCATCAACCAGACTGGAATTTGAAAAAAGGGTTCTCGTGTAGAGTCTACCCAGTGACACGCCATCGAAGCAATCTGGAACAACGGTTTCGTCCTCCTTTTTGGATTTTTTCTACTGGTACCTGCATGGAGGACAAAATTCTTGAATTCGCGATGAAATGTCAATATGAGCAGTAAGTTTTCAATACTTGTAAATGCCCCATATATAACGAAAACGACTTTTCATGTCTGATACCTAAGCTCTATATATAGTGCTTGTCATGCAATGATTATAGATGTGAATGATCCTTCTTGGTCTGAATACTTCACCGGTGATGAACTTGAAGAAATCAGCAATCACAATAATCCAGCACTACCAAAAGTGTCAGAGAAGGTCAAGAACCATCTCGACCTCTTCCGCACCTTCGACGCAAGCAAAAATCCCAATGGCAAGGTGAGACAACCTGGGAACTATCTATCTAAGTACGTGATATCGACATACTGACGTACATACGTAATATCATTACAGACTACCGAAGAGTTGATGGCTTATCAAGTCAACAATACCGGGCTTGACCACAAGGAGGATTTTGATCTGATTTGGATCAACAACAGCATCGCCAAGCAACGGAATTGTATCGATGGGCCTACTTCCCATTAACCGATCATTCCGAGGGTGATCTTTTGCGCCGTGTCTGGCAATTTGTAGACACTTGCTTTGATGATCAGAAAATACAAGTTCGAGGGTAAGTGAAGTAATGAGAACATGGAGCTTAATGCTAAATGATGGTCGAATAATAGTGGGGAGAAAACAAGCGCTGCGTCCGCATTACGCAAGAATGAAGGTCGTAACAACGCTGGTGTGGAAGCCATGACCCGTAAAGCATTGGGTCACCGTGGTGACTTGATTTTTGTCAAGTCAGGGCTTGAATTGGGCTGTGGTGAGCTCGGCCGGTACGACCGTGGGCCAAAAGGGTCGAAGGAGATGCGTGAGGGGTTCCTAAAGACCCCAAAGATGATGAAAGATGAGTTGTGCGCGCTCATTGCCAAGTGTCCCGACCAAGTTGCCAAGTTGAGGATTGTCGGATTTATCTCAATGGGTAATTTGGAAACTTGTTTAATCTATATCTAATGATTTGCACGATTCTAATCCATCATGTTTCAGGGCTTACATTGCAGATGCTTATCATGGACTGCCCCAAGGGCAATGTTTGAGGACCGGCCATGGTTATGATAGTTTTAATGCGATCTAATAGCCATATATAGTTTATAAGCTAAGGTATGCTAGGATAGCCAAAGTAATTTTTATTAAAATAATTTATTCACAAATGTCTTGGCATGCATAATTTAAAAATTTCAAAAAAATAAAAATCGAATTTTGAATAAATATAAAAAGAACATCCTACAATGATTCAACCACCTGCAAATGATGTTGTATTTAATAATGATAAAATTGTTATTGATACAAAAAAATTACAAAATTATTTATCTAAATATAATATTAATATAAAAAACTTTTGTGAAGAAAATATACATGAAAAATATAATATTGAATATATAGAGAAAAAAAATAAATTAAATATTAAAAGAAAAGCGTCTGAAAAACAAAAATCAGCGTCCAAATCAAATTTAAAAAATTCTAATGATCAAAAATATAATAATAATATAATTAAAAAAGTTGGGAATCTAAGAAAAGAGAATTATGAACTAAAAAAGAAATGTAACATATATGATAATTATTACGAAAAAATAAATGAAGAAGATTTAAAAAATAAAAATTCTCAGGAAGAATTAACAAATAAGGAGGAGATGTCTTATAAAATTCTCAGGAATCCTCAATTCCTCATATTTCCGAAGCAATGTTAGATGGTAACACCTCCAGTGTGGTTACCTCACAGGGTGGACTAATTAATAGTGAAGATGAGGAATGTCAATTTTATTGCTTAGAGCCATGTGATGATTGTAATGAAAAATTATGGAATACATATCAATGTAACTTTGCAAATGATGTAATAGAAAAACTCGAAAAGGAAAAACATAAATATAAAATGTTCTTTACAAGATATTTTAGCTACTATACTGATTTAATAAAAGCTAAAGAGTTAAATAGAAACGATATCATGCAAGCATGCCAAGATAAGTTACAAGAACTGATTCAACAATATATACAATTATACATTGAAGAACATGAAAGTAGTAGTGAATATAAATATAACTGGGCAAGTAAACGAAAGGTTGATACAGTCAGTTTCAATATGAGATTTTTTAATAAGCAAATAAGTAAGAAATTAATTTAGAGCTGAATACCATGTGTGGCCATATATTCATGTAGTATTTCCTGGGAATTAAACTTATCAACTGTTAACCAACTATTATCCTTTACACTATATCCAACCTACTTAACCTCAAATATGTACTTATTATCAGTATACACATGTCCTACAATCTTCTCAATTTCATATGAATTACTATGTTCTATATTTCTCTGTTCTTTTTGATTTTTTCTCTTGCGTTTAGATGTATTATTTTCAGTTTCGTCCTCACTATCTATAATCATATCTATTGATTGATTAATGTTAAGCTGTAGAAATTTCTGCTGCATATCAACCATTTCGTTATATTCAGTATTTACTTTTTGCTCATTTGAAAATACTAAGTCAAGTTTGTTTTTCTTACTTGGGAATTCAAAATCTTTTCCATACCATAATTTATGATGTGGTTGTACCTCTATATTATACTTGTTTACAAATCGCCATATATTAGTAAGAATACAAGCAACACGAAGCTGAATATTATAATATCTTATATCGGTTATTTGCAATGCTGCACGATTATTATTAAATCGTTCAAATTTAGAGCCTAACATAGAGAACTGTGCTTCTATTGCTGAACGAAATGATCCAAACTTGTTATTAAAGTATGTCTCATTGATTGTTAACTTTTGTCCTGGTTCTTTTCTTATGGGATGTAAAAAATTACGATCATAAAAACTATATCCAGCATCTGTTGCATTATCTTTAAACTTTTGTATAAATAAGTTATATCCACCATCCATTCCTAAACAATCTGCCTCACTTATTTTTTTATATAGTTTCATATTAATAAACATAGTACCATCATTTCCGATAGCACATTTTTCAGATACTGAAACATGTGTAATTATTTCATTCATATCCTGTATAACTTGTGTACGTACAGCTGGCCCTTTTAATTTATATGAATATAACTATGAATGTGACTCATTTGGTTTATAATACTTTATTTTACTATCATGTCCATCAATAAATAGTGTAACATTCTTAAAACCATCTGGATCGTTTATTATTGCTGATAGAATGCGAATACGTGGTGATGAGAACATACTATCTAGATCTTGTTTTACCTTTTTATTCAATTCATTATAGTTAGTAATCCAGAACCGCTTATATAAATCATAAAATGTTGCATATGGCATAACAGTATGCATATCCTTTCCTGATACACCTGATACCATATGATATAATAATGCAAGTCCTTTTTCAATCTCGCGGTATGGCCCTGGATATTCAATATTTCCATATAAAACTGTAAGAAAATAAAATACAGGTATAAATCCAAATCTATTAAGTAATACATCCTTTATATCATTTATTGTATTATTCTTCATATCTTTAATAGCTGTTCTATGATTAAATCTATGTTGCATTTCAGCTAAGATTTATCAAGAAAAGTCCATTTATTATCAATTAAATTTTTAATTTCAATATCGAGTTGCTCAGTGTGTTGTGTTGTGTTCATTTTTATTTGTTGTTATGTACTTTAAACAATCGCTCTTTTTTTTCTCGTGGGAGGCTACCAATATAAATAAAAAAATTCAATTTTTATTATTTTTATTGTAAATCAATAATTAATTCGGCCACTGATGGTTATACGGTCATAGCAATTTTATTATCTATATTACAGCTAGTAGATTATATTTGGTTAGACAACTAATAGCAGGAAGCCTTTGCAGAATTCGACGCACGCAACGCTTTGAATACCCAGAAGTTGTCGATGCATTCCAAACAAACGTCCTCCCCATGTATGAGCTAATTCTCAAGGCAAAGGCCGTAATGGCCGAAAACGTCGAAATAGTGCAGCAACGAGAACCAAGTACCGACTTACTACCAACCATACAACACACCTTCCAACTACCGCCGTGCCCTCCCTCACCTAAACCGTCCAAAGCTCTCCTTTCATCTTCTTCCGCATCACCCTCCAATCCCGTAAGCGTCCGTCAAGCGACCACACATCCGAACCATCATCATCATCGCATAAAACCCAAAAGCGCATTTTTTAATAAATACTCTTCCCATATGATTAAACAACACTTTATTCAATCTCAAAATCGAAGAAGTTCTCATCCATCTCAGACTCAAAGAAATTGTAAGAGTTCAGTGTAAGTCACATCTAGAATTTAAAAAGGAAGGGGATCTAAGTGCTATACACATGTGCCAAAAAAATCCTTGCACAACCGAGGCGTATTGTAAATGACCCGATTTCTTTTGTATGCTGCTGTATAAACTCGTTTTTGATGCGCTAAGCTGCGCTGCCAGCATTTCTTGATGAGGGCGACTATAAAGTATCTGCTTCATGCAGTTCACATGGGTATTTAAGTTTTTGGTGATAGGCTGATAACAGTAAATAAAGCTGACACATTAGGTCGGGCTAATACGATGGGAGATATAGGAAGGGGATGGGGGTTGTGTAGGTGTTGTGGCTCTTACTCAAGCTGTTTAGCCGGTTAAAAGAAATTAATGTTGCAATGATGGGTTTAAGATAGGAAGAGTCCTATTTTTTTAGCATCAATATGTAAACGCCAATACATGAACGTGCTGAAATTCTAGTTTGCACAGACACTTGACAGTCTATATGATATAGACATAGTACTTTCCACCTAGGATTTCAGAAGTAAAAAGCATTCTGCAAGATCAAAAAGATACATACTGTTTATGATATCAAAAAACTTCAAAGAATGGAGCCCTTCATTACAGAAATATTACATATACATATGTGGAGTATCTTTTCATGCATTCGCTAATGGATATCGTAGAAATAACACATGGTTTACGCCAAATAATCAGGTGCTGCTGTTTATTGATTATTGTTACTAGTTAGTTTCCGCCCTTTGTCAGTTTCTCAGGATACATGCGAAATTTATTGAATAGATTCCGCAGCTCTATCGAGTGTTCCATTTTTTTACCCTGACAAAAGGCGACAACCGACTGTGTTCGTCCCGTAGACTTTGCGAGCAAATATACTGTAGTACAGTAGGTTAAGTATTACATTCTCGTTCTCTAGACGATTGGGCAAGATAGTTGACCATGTGCATATACATTTACATTTACATATACATAGATATACACTAACTATGGGACGGGGTCCCTAGAGGATAACAGACCGACGGTGCTGTGGTGGTTTCTAAATCGTTATAGCAGCACACGACAAAGGAAAATGTAAATTGTGACCATTAACGGTAAGGCTAGCTGTTCCGCTTTTATGTACGCCTGTGGAGTACAAACCATTTTTTGTGACAGAGCTACTTTGATCATCTGCAGCCAGATGCCGTCGGTGGCCTATCCAAGGACTGTCCTGCTCTAAAACTACATTGGAGGAGGGAAATGAGCAGCAGGCCAGATACTAAGATCAATAGTACCTGCAGATGCTGGTCGTGCTCTTCTTTGATTGCATTTTCACTTTACCCCCTTTTATCGGACGCTGCGGAACATCGCGTAAGTGATGCGGAAGATTGATATTGAAAAAGCTGAGGGACTGAAGCGAAAGTAATAATTCACTGATGATGTGTCAAGACTTCAATCTGCACCGATACTGATAAACAATCTTCTTTCCACTGTTTTGACATAGCTGTCCCTTTTTTCTACAGTATATACATCACACCGAAAGTCATGATTCGTTCACACTGTAGGTAAATTTAGAACAGCCATTGGCATGTGATAGGGGAGAGAAAATGTCTAGAATGGAATGGATGCAGTGTCTCGGTCACTATAACATTTGCGTTTGGGCGTGTGTACATATGAAAAGAGAGCTAGAGTGTATGAAAAATGAAGGTTAAGTTCATCTGCTAATAGTAGTGTACCGTAGTTGCTTCCTCGTATTTGGGTCTCTCTAGGTTCTTCTGCACACACACGTAATCTGGCGGACGGACGAACGAAGGAACTCTACGTTAGTATACTTTATTGGACTGCTGCAGCTGTTCTTTTTCTTGTTACTCACACAGACATCAGGCTTACGGACTTTTTCGTTTCTTGTCGCCCAAGTGAAAATGATGGTTCTGAAGGTGTTTGGTTCAAGAGATGCCAAACAGTTACGCAACAGCACAATATTGAATCGGTAAGCGATCCGTGTATGTATGCTTGTCCGCAACTAGGTCAAACATAACAATGTTTGCCTAGGTAGTGATTCTCATGGCTTTAAATGCACAGCAATAATGTGAAGAGGAGCGAAATAAAGTAGCTAGGGTAACCAATATTGATTACAATAGGAATATATCAAGCATCAACCAGACTGGAATTTGAAAAAAGGGTTCTCGTGTGGAGTCTACCCAGTGACACGCCATCGAAGCAATCTGGAACAACGGTTTCGTCCTCCTTTTTGGATTTTTTCTACTGGTACCTGCGTGGAGGACAAAATTCTTGAATTCGCGATGAAATGTCAATATGAGCAGTAAGTTTTCATATACTTGTAAATGCCCCATAATATAACCATTGATTAACCGCGACACCCTACTCCCAATTTTGTTTATTGCTCAATAATTAGATAAAATTAACGTCAGCTACATCAACGATAGCTATTCAATGGTTCTCTGGAGGTGTTCAAACGCTGGCTTGAATGTTCATGTGTTAATTGCTGCCCACCCTGCTAACATGAACGATGGTTAGTCGTAGTAGTCAAGAATATATTATGCTTCTGCCGTATGAAAATGTCTTTTTATTATCTTCACTCATGTTGGCCAATTATGATCGTATTTCTAACATTTAGGTTTCTTACTTCTGGACGACGAGGTAACGGATGTTGCTATTGAAAGCTCTTTTGCCGATATCTTTTCGTTCATTGGCAACAGTCTATCATGACTCGGAACAGCTGTTGATCGACACGCTACAAATTCGTATGGTGCATATGCTAATTCGCAAAGCAATTCAGTAAATACCCAAATGTTTTTTGCTATATAATCAGTACTACCTGTACTATCATGTGTGCAAGAACAACGATTACAGATATGGTCATTTTTTGTCACTGACAAAAAAAATCGTTCTTTATTTTGGCATAGTTGTTCCATTGCCATTGTTAAATATGCTGAATTCTACTACCGTGCCATTTCAATGGGCAACAAGCAGTCATCCGGGTCATCTCTGTCAACCTCAACTGCTTTAGCTAGTTTGCTTCGATGCTGCTGTCGGTACTGTGTACTGTACACACCTGGTACTGAAGGTTTTGCAAGCACGGCCTCTCACGCGTCCTTTGCTGCCGACGAAATTTGGATTACCATCGAGAACCACACTGGCACCAATGGATCCTTTTCTGATCAATTTGACAGAGATGCTGGCCTTATGCAAGGCGTCAGCTATCCCACCTGATCCAATGGCGCATTTTTTACTGCTGCAAAGGCTAAACACGGTTCGCCTGATGCAAATTAATTTTAAGATACTACTCTAAACATTATATATATTAACATACTTGACCCAGTCAATCAGCTACATCATTTGCAGTAAAAGCAAACATGTTGTAAGCAGGCAGTATCATGCTGCAGGATCTTGTTTGGATCATTCTACTTACTTGAAAGTGTTAAATGAAAAGTTATAGCCATCCTTTTTACCACGTAGATCTAATATAAAGTAATCGGTGCAACCTTTTATACAACTACACCCAAGCATGCGCCATATCTTGATACAGCACAACATTCCTTCGTGAATGATTGCACAAGAGGAAAGAGTGGTTGCTTTGTTTTACTACTTCCTGGAGTTAGTGCTTCTAAGACGATGACAATGATTCACCCCATCTCAGGGCTAGTGGCTTCAGTAACTTCCTTCCTCTTTTCTTCTCCCCGTTCGTTCAGGTAGCGAGTTACAATCTAGTTTCATACTTATTCGACCTTTTTTTGTTGCGGTCCTGAAAAGAAAGAGAGGGACTGGGACTGGGACCGCGTGTTACTCTGAAAAAATATGCCTGAAGAAGCAAAGGCGGATACAAGTGAAAATTATCAGCAGATGGGGTGAGGGGCAGCAAGTCAATTAAGATACCGGAGTAGGCCACTGTAGGCCATGTCGCCTATTTGCAAGTTCCCGATCAAACTTCAACATCCAACGCTACAACTACCTATGCTTCCACCATCTCGTTCCAGCGTCCATCTTCTCTTTCTGATGCGTTTGATTAGTTTTTGTTTGTTTGCATTTAACCGCAAGTTTCTTTATTACTTGTACAAATCACTGAATTTTTTTGTTCAGATAGCCTTGTGATCCATAACAGTTACTACTATACATAATACTAGCGGTCCTTCCTCGCTTCGCTCGGATGAATGAGCCTCTCCGCTTCGCTCCGTGTCATTCAACGGAAACGCGTCGCAAGGGGGTTCCCCCCTTGACCCCAAGTGGGGGGCAAGCCCCCCAAACCCCCCTGTCAAGCGAGGTTGGATCAATGTTTTGGTATTAGATGCTTATTGTCTGTTTTCAAAAACAAAAGCAAGATCATTGTGCAGTGCGAAGTAGTCTATCATAGAAAGTCGTCAAAGTTGGATACTTAACTATCTCCAGTTTAGAGTGCAATGCGAAAAGAAGTGTTGACAAAGATGATGTAGTGATATTGATAAAAAGAGAATAGGCGAGAAAAAAAGAAAATAGGCAATATAAAAAAAGAGAATAGGCGATGTAGAAAAAGAGAATGGGCGATGTAAAAATAGAGTAGGTGACAAAAAGAATTATAGAAGAACTTCGTGAAAAACAACATTTCTTGTGCTTTGGCCTTACTGACCCGCGATACGTGAGTTCTCAGGATCTATCATGATTCTGATGGATGAAGGGGTGCGGACGCGCGACATGGCTACATAGAGTAGACCATGCGTGAACGGAGGTTCAGGCAAGTAGAGGCCGACAGTGTTGAAAGTTTGACCCTGTGCCTTATTGATGGTCATAGCGAATGCCAGGCGAACAGGGAATTGGGTGCGTTTGAAGAGAATGGGCGAGCGTGTTTGCGATGGTGTGAGTGTTATGCGAGGGATTAAGACAATGTTGCCAGCATGAGGTCCAGTGGCTATTTCAGCTTCAAGTACATATCTTTGAAAAGAGCGTACAATCAGCCGTGTCCCGTTGCAGAGACCACTTTGGGTGTGCAAGTTTCTCAAAAGCATAATTGGGCAACCGACTTTGAGTTTTAGCAAGTGTGGTGGGAGGTCGGATGGATTCATGGAATTGAGCAGCTCTGGTGGGTATGTGATTTGATCCTCTGGATCATCCACAGTATCTGCGCTCGGGAATTCGTGGATAGTGCCTGGGAAATGGTCGAGTATCAGATCGTTGATTGCTGAAACGTCGACATTTTTTGGAGTTAGAATGGAGCGACTGATGAGGTAATCGCGATCCACGTGTGGTGCGTCAAGGCTGCCGTAAATGGCTTCGATGAGTGATTTAAGCACTGCTGTACGATCTGCGAGCGCGAAGCATTTGGTATCACTGGAAGGACCTATTACCATATACTTTACTGTGAGTACTACCGCTTAATAGTAAAAAACATGCAAAGTAGAAGAGAGGATACAATGTTGAGTACCTTGCAAAAGTCAACACCAAGGACCATAATTTTTCCGTCAAATGGAACATCGGCAAGCGCGGGATCGCCATGTCTCATGAGATTTTGGATACTCTTGTATACGTTGATACTTGTATTGATACTTGTATCCAGCGTGTTTAAAGCGATGACACTTCTCAGATGATGAAGGATTTGTAGTGAGCTTCATATCGTGTTTATAACGCTTATCCGCTTGAGTCTTTTCTCGATGCGATACCCGTCTACTCACATAGTCATACATTCATGTAGAACAAATTTCCTGATCTGGAGGAGCCACACATTTCGGCGCGTCATAAACGTGAGAGAGCAATCTGATTGGATAGATTGAACTGGCTCAAATGCCGTGTTCATTACTACTATATAACCGTGCGGCCGCAGCAATCATGGGGCTCTTCTTCCTCTTCGTCAACTTTTCTAAACCAAAGCTATTCAATGTGAGTGTCATTGGAATGGATTAGAGGATCGAAGAGTGTATGCTTATGTTGGTGAGTGAGAAGAGCGTATGAAACCGGTTGTGAGTATCTCAAAATCCGTTTATCTCACTTTCTTTCTTTTTGACACAAACCTTCTTCTCGTCTTAACCTGGTCCATCTCCCCCTCACGTTGGCTCTCAAAGCGCAGATGCAAGAGTAAGTACAATATGGAAAGTGTGAAGTGTACTTTGAGGTTTTGCATGTGGATGTGATATACGAAAGAAGATATGAATTTCGACGTGTCTAAAGAAGTGTGTGTACAGCATACAGTCGCTAATGTTATCCTCCTTTCTTCTCTGCTACTACTATAGGGTTCTGACTTTTTGAAATGGTTGGTTCGGGTTTGTTGTTTGCATCCCACCCTTAAACATAAGCAACAACTGTAAGTACGGTAGGGAATGAAATGTGAGGATGAGTTGGAGAGAAGTCGAGTGTCTGTTGGAGGTGCTGATGCCATGACGTGTCAAGAATAGCTGCATATTTAGAACAGCCTGCTCATGATCTTTCTCTACTTCAGGTTCCGCCTTATGCTGGTTGGGTTAATCGTGTCCAGCGGACAAGTAACAGATAGTAAGTATAAGCAAAAGGGAACTTAAACATTGGTAGGTGAGTGGGATGGCCTGGGTGCTTGGGATGACGTGCCAAGGGTGTGCAGTGTGTACAGCAGCGTGACGGGACAGGATTCGTAATAATGACGTGTGCAGTATGGCAATCTCTCAAAAAAAAATTCTTTCTCTCCTCCCCTTTCTTCTCTTATTCTTCAGAATTGGTCGTCCCCTTCTTGCTTTTCCTCTCTCTAACTCAAGGCTCTCTTCCTCCAAGCCAAGGATGCCATAATAGTAAGTATCGCTGTGCTTGTGTTTGTCTTTGCGTGTTTGAAGAACCAGGAAGATGTCTGCCGTGACATGTCAAAAAGTGTATGCAGCTGCTCATAGATGTTTTCTTTTTTCTAATAGAGGATGGCTCTGCGGTGATCTGTTTGGACTTTGGTTTGGCTTAGACCCCATCTCTCTCTGTCTATAACTTTGCTGTAAAACGACAAAACAAATGTAAGTATAGCTAGATCCAGCTTGGGATGGAGGAGGATGGTTATGCCGTGTCAAAAATAAAGATAGCTTAATGACCTTTTTTTTCTCAGCTAGAAGAAGTGTTTCTATCTTGGATGCGCATCTCTGCTCTGCTCTGGCCGTGTGTTCGGTTATCCTGTGTCTCATCGTAGAAGTATGGGTAAGTATAGCACGATAGTTACTTGTGATGGTGGTTTGACAGTTTCCCATTAACTATTCGTCTCTTTTGTTTCTCGGAATGGCGGTAGTGCACAGACACCTCCATGCTAGTCAAGATTGATGCTCCACTGTCATCCCGCTCCTAGAAGCCGACCTGTCAAGTAGTCTATCGGCAGTGGTCAAGATCTATCCATCCATCTGGACGGTGGCGTGTGCTTTTTGCTTTGACTTGGACCTGAGGAAGTCCTTAAAAGCCTCATCTTCTTCTTTGCGTTCTTTATATATTTTATACCCCCCTCCCCTCCTCCCCTTGCTCTGACCCAGGAAGTCGTTAAAAGCGTCTATTGCGTTTCTTATATAGTTTATCCACTTTTTCTCCCCTCCCCTTTGCTTTCTTCTACAGTTCCTAGTAGCCTCTGTCTCGACCCATCTTCGGATGTTGCATCGTTTCACGCGAACGGCTGTTTTTCTTACTCAGGCAGCCTCCAGGCGTAAGTCCTGCTTCATTTTCAAATTCCCCCCGCCCACGGGTCAAAAGTGCGGCCGAGGTCCCCCATGAATTTGGGGAATGCTTTTGCGTAAGTATTTACTTTCTCTTTTTCTGTCTGTGAATTTACATGGATGAGAGTTTCCTTTTTTGGATTTTTCAGCTAACTTTTAAAGATTTTAATAATAAAGAAGATGCTATACTAGAAATCTTTGATAGCTCAAGAATAATCATCAAAATTATACAGAGATATTAGAAAGAATAAAAGATAGGGGGAAGAGTTGGTAAAAAGACTCAAGTCTCTGCGGAACACCAAAGTTGAGCCATATCCAAGCAATCATCACCAAAAGTGGTTTTTCCAGAACGCAATGCCCATACTCTGTCCTCAGAGTCGTATGAAACGGCATATCCTTGTCGGATGCACCTGTATTAGGCCGTGTCAGGCCGTGGATATCTGCAAAAACCTCTGGGTTTGCCACAACCAGCATTGCAGTGAGCGACAACTGTATCCACACGTTCTTGTTGAGATTCGTATAAACCGAAGCTTCGCCCCCTGCCGCGACAATTTGCAGCTTTTTTCTTTGAGTATTGTCGGGAGCTCCAAAGATCATCCATCTCGTGTACTTCAGCTGGGTGACAAAGTACGTGCCCTCTTGCTTCTTTTCATGCATGGAAACACTGAGAGAGCTATGAATAGTTTGCTAAACTCCTTCGTTAGCGTACACTTTGTGATAGAGCAAAAATTACAGGTGAATAATACATTGATGGTGACAAGAATAGGTGGTACCTGGTAACTGATAGATACAAAAGCCAACTAGTGGCCCTGCGCTTCATAAGGTAATAGACGATGCTGAGTCGAGAAAGTTTTGTCGCTTGACGTACGTGTACGGGGATTCGATTGTAGTGCAGACAAAGAAGGTGAAACAAGGGCTTTGGACGGTTTAGGTGAGGGAGGGCATGGTGGTAATTGGAAGTTGGTATGTATGGCTGGTATCAAATCGGTATTCGGCTCTCGTTCTCCACTACTTCGACGGTTTCTGCCATTATAGCCTTTGCCTTGAGGATAAGCTCATACATCGGCAGGACCTTTTTTTGAAAAGTTTTTTCATCTTTAGGGCGTTCGAAGCGTTCTGTGCGTCGGATTCTGCAGACGTTGCCCTTGGGGCAGTCCATGATGAGCAACTGCAACGTAAGCCCTGAAACATGATGGATTAGAATCGTGCAAATCAATAGATAGAATAAACAAGTTTCCAAATTACCAAATGAGATGAATCCGACAATCCTCAACTTGGCAACTTGGTCGGGACACTTGGCAATAAGCGCGCACAGCTCTTCTTTGTTCAATTTTCGGCCTACATCACGTGTTAGGATGCATAACTGTGAGGAAACAACGAAGAAGCTTTGCTCACTTGGTTTGTATAGTTTAAGTCTCTATCTGTGACGTTTGCGAGGGATCTGTAAAGTAAACTAGAAAACTTAGCTGACATTCTTCCTTGTGCGTGGCAGCACTTGCTTTAGCATTATACAGGACGTATAGAGAGTGTTTACCTGAAGCCGTTCCAGCTCAGCACTGCATCAACTCCCAGCCCATCCAACTCTGTCCCATGCTCTGAGGAATTCGTACTAGTCGACAAGGGAGAGAAAGTGCCCCAATCAGCCCACTTTGAAGGTAGCGAACACAACTTGCCGCTGTTCGGCTATCAATATTTTTGGAACTCCCGCCGGTAAAAGTATAGCCGATAGGGTGCAGGAGCCATCATTGAGTGAGATTTTTAACCAGCTAACATATCATTGTATGCGCGAATATAACGCCAGCAATTGTAACAACGCGGGTTTCTAGAGGCTTAGCATCAAGTGGAGAAACGTGATGTAGAAAGATATCAAGGTTATTTGTAAGTGACGAGAATGTATAAACGCATTCACTTTTTGCAAAACTGTACGCTTGGCAGCACTCTAGTATCTTTCTAATGTTGTTTCGACTGGTACTTGGGATAAGAAGCATATAAATGACCAGCTTTGAGAACAGTCTCGTTTAACGCGCTCTTTTGCGCAACAAACTGTGTAACATATGGTGACGGCAACAAGTGCGATCAGCATTGCCTCAAAGTCCTTCCAACGTCCCAAGCCACGCTCTTCCAAGATGGTTCTAATGCCCTTCAAGGTCCAAGTGCGTTCTTCTTTTACACCACTTCTTGTCTTCTATATCTTAATCTCAAGGGCGTAAAAGTTCTGGATGAAGTTCATTTTCTTCTGGACCGACGCACTAGCCAGGCAAAATGACGCGTTCTTCAATACCATTAAGGACTTTATCTTATCAGCCAAAACGGTTTGCTGTACAAGTTTCGCACTTGCTGCATAAATATTATGATTGCTCGATTGATCAAATAAAATAAGCGCTTGACAGTCTGGATGACGCGCTTCAAACAATGTGGAGCTAAATGTTAGAAACGCCCATCTTTTGGAAGATTTTCTTGCTCTTTTGCGCGTTTTTGTCTTAAACAGTAAGTTGAAAACCATGATAACGCGACACGCGCCCTAGCACAAAGGGTGAGCTTTGTGCAACCATGAGTGGTCAGGTTACACACTGCTAAAGGTACACTTCCACCTTTCGAATCCTGTCTCATGCCCATCAATACTGCCAGCTTCCAATATATATACTTGGTCGTCGTATGCCACTTTTGTGTTCGATACTGGATGCCATGTTGGATCGGTCCGTTATATACTGCGACCTTCTAAAAAGATGCTTTTGATCTGTAAAAACAAAAACAAAGCAACTGATGTGAGGAGGCCAAAGCACGAAGTAGCATAAATAAAAGTGCTCTACACGTAACGGCTATAATCAACGTTGATTATGGTGGTTGATAGAGTGCTCATATGGCTGGAGTTGTCGTCTATGTCTAATTTACACTTTGGTTGGATACTTGGTCCCAGGAGTCAAGCCACCATAACCGTGTCAAGAAAATCTTGAATGCTGATGTTGAGTATTGAGCTGGTTTATATATTATAGAGGACATGGTCGTATGTCTAACTCTTGCCCCTCAAGCTCTTGATTTTTCGTTTTGGTTTCCCTTCGGCGTATTTCTATTCAATATGAATCGTATTTCAGGTGGCAACGCTTTTGCAAAAGGACTGGCTCCATACCGTTGCCGAAGCAAAGTCGCATGCTTGTTAACAATGTGTTCGGTAGTCAAATTTTATGTAATGTACTCGACGGCAAGCTCTATGGGCAACAAGTTTGTCCAATTCCAAAAGCTCATTTGGTTGGGCCTTGATGTTCCTTCAAATCCAATACAATCGCTGCTTCAACTTCCTTATGTTTGTACCTGATCGTTCCGAAACGGAACGAGGCGGAGGACTAGCCATTATGGCAATTTTTTTTTACCCTTAGTACTAAGGTAAATGTGATAATAAGGTGAGCAAACTGTTAAGGCGTTTGCTTGTAATAAACAGAAATATTCTGCTCATATCATATATGCTATGGTGTTTTGGGAAAATTTTACTTTAGAGCAAATGTCGAATCGCACGAAGTCAATGATGCGTGTGGTACAGCAGGAATGCGTGCGATAAAGGTAGTAGCAGCATCATTTATCATTGCTCTCGTCCATCTCACAGTAGCAGGATGATGAACTTACACCCGAAGTTTCTATCGAAACAAATGGTTACTCTAGCATGCTATTAGAAAATAAAGAAGCGCATACAGTACTGTAATAACTTTGCACCAAACGTTATTTTACGTAGTACTGCTCAAAAAGAACCATCACGTACAAATGAAAAGTATGACCGGTTTCTTTTTTTATATTTGCTTGAATTAAGGAAATAAATGTGGTATATACAGAAGTTGTTTGTTTACAGATGATATACAAATTTACATGATTGAATGTACCGTTATAAGTGATGAATATGAGTAGAATGTCTAATCAGCATTTCCTCGTATGACAGACTACTTGATTCAACTCTTGCAGCTTTTCCTGACTTCGATATCCAATGCTGCATGTACCCTTTTTAAAAGTTCACACATTTTGTCCAAAAAAAAGAGTGAAGCATCCAGTTTCGACAGCAACTTCAGGGAAGTCCTTCGGTCAAACTTATGACGTTTCATTTCCGCTAAAGTCTCGTCATGGATTTCCCCTCTCCGCGATTTCAAGAAATCATACAACTGTTCTGCTTCAATCATCCTTAGGAATCTGATCCTGCGTTCTGGCCGTTTAATTTTTCTAAAACAAATCATTTTTAAACCTTCAGTACAACATCTTATGGTTAAATAGCACAAAATGTAAAGGAAAGCTTACTTACAAAGCAGATATACATAGCCAAGCTAACATCTTTAATGCCCATCGATCATACCGTAGCGCTACAAGTCGGTCCTTTATCACAGCATTAATTTGCTTGCAAACTATCCAGCTCCTTGAATGATCGAAACCGTGTCCTATTTCCATAAAGTAATCATTCTCTTTTTGTCAATATGTACACAATTGTAATACGTCTCTTAAGGAATCAAAAAAGTATATATTTCCATTTACCGTGAATTTTCATCGCTCCTTCAACATAAGGCTCTGCAAACAAACGTTTTTCGGCGCCTGGATCTAAACGGTGGAAAGGAAGCATCAAGCTGAGCCAAGTGTGAAAAGGTTTTGTAGACGGTTGATGGAATTGCAACGCAATCCTATTTTATATAGTTTTTGTGTTTGGCAATGATGCGCAAAGAAGGGAAATGTAAGCAGAACTTATCTTTTCAAAAAAAGAGTTTTATAATAGACGCATACCTCATTAGATTCAAATTATTCAGTTGGCCGGCTCGTCGTAATACAAATAATGCGGCCTTTTCCATCTCCTCTTCATTCGTCTCTGATAGTAGCTTTTTAAAGTTCATGTCAGCTGCTTACAATAGAAAAGATTTTATCTCAAGAATAACTTTGGTTAGAAACTTTCAACCATTGTCTCATACATACTCTAAGGTATTCAGTTGCAGTTTGTTCGTCTGTCGGGAACCATTCTGGCCAAAACGACGATTCTCGGGGTATATTCTCGACTCGCATCTTCAAATACTTTTGGCGCTTTTCAGGCGTTTCCACAGATTCAAGCAGTGACAGCACAGCTTGTACGTCGGGATCGCCTCCATGAACTGTCACCCAGATATCTTGTATGTTTTCTTTGGCAGCGTCAGCGCGGTCGTTCTCGATGAGTTCGCTTATATACGCGAGGAAAATATTTATTTTCTGTAGCCAATTCATGTCATGTTTTAGCCAAACAGATATTTTTGAGCCTCTGTCAAAATTATACCTGCTTATCCAAGCATACTCGATGCACAGTCTCCAAATATGCAACTGTGTCCCGATTATCCTTTATAGCCAACTGCAGTCCAGTCTATCAATAGCTTATTCTAGTAAGACAGAGCTTAAGAGTAGACTACTTTGTTCACTCCTTGACATACCTTCCAGTAAGCAGAGACCTCAAATATGCCAGTGTTAACGATTAGGTCATACAGCTGAATCGCTTCTTCGAATCGTTCTCGATGAATTAAAGAGCACAACGTAGCTTTCGACGCTTCCAGTGCGTCCCCAGTACTGTAAGTGGGATCCAGCCACTGATCTTTTTTTATTTCTAGTTCTTCATCGAGAGTGAACAGACGGACCATTGGGCTGGAATGGGCATGTCAAAAGGAAGAAAAAAAGTATTACCGAATCCAGAATTTTTTTATTTTGTCAAGGAACAGCTCCGCCACTTCCATTCACAGAATGTGGTCAGTCTTCATGTGTACTTGCGGTAAGCATAAACAGTGTGGCATTGTCGAATTTAAAAAAGAATCTCATCATATACTTGATATGGATGACGATAGTTCTGCACCCAGCGTTGGCGTGATGAGCTCGAAGTCATCGTTGTCATAGCAACTATATAAAACACGCGCATCAATTTGGTGCACTTGCTTCTTTCCGCTTTCCGACTCGAAGAAATGGAAAGAACGCCGCTATCCCCTAGTGCTCGGTTGAATGGGCATAATGGAGCAGTGCTATGCGCCAAGTATGCCGAGAATTCCATCCTTGGACCCGACATTCTTGCTTCTGGATCAGGTTGGCATTTTCTGTTGTAAAAAACAATAGCCTCTTTTGCACTAAAAACAGTAGAATCTCAATCTCAATGTGACAATATTCGCGATCGATGAAAATATTAAAAATAGAGGATCAGACATGTCGACTTTGGGATCTTCGACAAATGCGGGCTATAAAGGGTATTCAAAAGCTCAATGATGCTGTAAGGTTTCCTCTATATTCGCTCTTATATCGTACTACCATGCTGGCGCGAGAGGAGAAAAGGTAGAGAGCAACCAAAATTGCCATGCTCACTTTATATTCTTCGTTATTTTAGGTTTCCAGTGTTGCATTTGGACAAAACGCTGAATTGTACTTGGCGGTCGGCACAAAGGTATCAAATGTATATTTCCTACCTACAAATATACAACATCGCTTAGAATGGAAAATCATAATATGCTAGGTTTACACATATGATCTACGAAATGACGGCATGATCATCAGCGAACCAGTACAAGAATATGCGTTCAGCCAAGATGAGATCAATAGTGTATGTATAATAAAAACCATGTATAAGTGACATACTGATAAACGAGAGATATACAGATTGATATCCATTCGAACGGAAAGTACCTCGCTACTGCCGATGATCAAGGAGAAGTTAAAGTCAGTAAGTCTTCGTTAGAGTAGCTGCTTTTCCCGCCTTGTCTTTGTTTCAAACGCTCAATTATGAAGTTATCGTATAGTTGACCTTGAGCGCCATAAGCCTTACAAGAAGCTAGTGAAAAAGCACGACAATGTAATATTAATCTCCCACTTTATTTACAAGCTACAAAAACTTATATTATGGGTTTAATTTCTTCTGTAGATATGTATGGCAGTACGATTTCGCGCAAAGAAACCATGGGAAGGTATGATATACTATGATGAACCAAAATTAGTAGCACAGTAACTCAATGGTTTTGGTAGTCTGGTCCGGTGGTCTTGATTGTAGACTTTTCCAGTGGGATTTCTCGCGGGGCGTTCCAGTGAACGGCTATGATACCAGTAAGTGACACGCCCTTATTGGTTGAATGTACCAAAATTCATTCATTTTTACAATGTGTTGCGTAGATGCGAATGAAGCGTCCTCCGCACAAATGTTCAACCCACCTTTCGTTTATTCTATTGATACATCTCCCACTGGAAATTGGGTCGCTGCTGGTCTGGGCGACTGCAGCATTCAGGTTCTTGGTGAAGTGGGAGGATCCAAGAAGAAGAAGAAGCAGACATGCCATGCTCGCTTGATGGATGCTCACACCAATTTGGTCAACTGTTTGTAAGTTAAGGAAGATCGAGATAACTATGCACATAAGTACATCTCATGTTATTGATTATATTAAATATACCCAGGTGCTTCTTACCACAAGGGCAAGAAGATGGATCATCCTTTGAACAGCTTTTGTCGGGATCGGCAAATGGTATTTTGGCTCGATGGGAATTGAACGAAGAACAAATCCAAGCTAGCGATATGTTAGCGGCAAAGTCTACATACCAGCTAGATAATTCAGTGGCGCGTCTGAACTGGATCGAGTCGTGTGGTACTGAAGGGAATGCATATCGGATTGCAGCCGCTGGTGTTGGAAATCAAACCAACCAAGGCACGCTCAATATTTATTCCATCATTTAAACGTAAAAATAAACATACCGTTCGCTCAATTATATTTATATAAACTTATGGTTAATCTTGCGGTGTAAATAATACAAGGATAGGAATTTATGATGGGGTGGAGATATCTGGTGCATACGCTGTGGTGTTTTGAGGTTGCAGGAATCGTTGCTGTTGTTCCACAAAGAATGTGGCAGTCTTGGATTTGGCTCGGACAAGGATCTGTTGAGCACTATTTACGTAAAATGTAGCAGCAGATATGTTGGCAGAATTCGCGGAAACACGGACGCAAGGTAGTAGCAGGTTACCAGTCTTGAGAGGAACCAGATCCACTGGGAACTCGAAAACGTGTCCAGGCTAATCGATTTACGTATCATTAAAAAGTATTCCGAGATTATTGCTTTCCAGTTTTACCTTTGATGTGAACCGTAAGCGACGTTTCCCTGAGAGCAGCCAGTTGTCGTAGTCTACGTCTATGTCATAGTAAAATTCATTGTGGGATGGGCCAGCGCCGTTCATCTCTGCAGTGGACCAGTCAGCCGACTGCTTTATACGTAAAGTACAAGGACACCGTTCCGAGACAAGCAATTCCTTTGCGGGATTCGTGAGTACCAGCTCCGCAGTATGCAGAACCTAATAAAGCGATGGTTATTATTAGTATAAAATATAGACTTGCATTTATCGCCACGCTTTACCTTGGAAATTGGCACCTCAAGAGGGAAAATAATGGCATTTGTACGAGGCTTAGGTGAATTATCTTTAATCGTACGTACAGTGATAGCTTCATGCTCCTTCGAAGGTGAATTTCAATGTTTAGTACAGCATCCTGTTGCTAGTATATCCAAGATATACCAAAGATCAAGAAAGCTTACCTCAAAAAACTCTTCAATAAGATCTAGTAACTCAACTTTAGTTTTCAAGTCGCGGTTCAGTAAAAATGATTCGCACAGCTCGGCATCAAAATCCTCCAGATGAACCACATCGGTCAAGCCATAACTGACATAGTCAATCGATGACAGGAAGGCTTCCTTGACTTTAGAGAAAACGTATGTAAAGTGCTGACTAGCATGATGCTTTTGCAACTTCCTTTCAAGCATAGCGCCAATACTTGCTTCCACCTCGTCTTTCAGTGTGTGATACTTGGCGTAAAATCGTACCTTTGGTTTGAGATCTACGATTGAAGAAAAGTGTTATGTCTTCAGACATAGCAAGGAAAACCTTACGGTACATACCATGATCCACATCATCTCGTTTCACTAGCTTATACACAAATGTAGCCACCTGCTTGGGGAACAAAGTCTTTGGGGAAAATGGGAGGAGGTGAAACAGCAGGATTGTTAACATCATTGGAACAGATACATCCAATCTTTCTTCTTCTTTTTTGCCTACCAAATCCCACTGCTCAACAGCAGAACTGCTCTCCACCACGTATGACTTGGATGGGAAAAGCTTGGACTCTAATATCCGAACAGGATGGTCACCATTACATGATACGTCAACTTTAAGAAATACGCTAGAAAAGACATATATCTGTTTAGCCAAAGAGTATCACTGGGGAAGAAAGTCAAATGAAGAAACTCACCATGTTTCTCGGAAAATGCTGGTCTCCGTAACAACGAGTGGGACTGTGACATGGATCGAGTGTGCGGATACAAACTCTCGAGTATTGCCTTCGCTCTCATATGTGATGGTCGTTTTTATCTATTTGAAAACGCATTTATAACCTGATTGCAAGCAAAAGATATGGCATCCGTCAAAGACATATTTACCCTGTATTCGAATTCAGTGTATGAACCTTCATATTCGACAAGAAGTCCTAGCGTTTGATTCGGTTCGCACTCAGGAAGAACAATCTCACCGCTTTCCAGCATATCGAGTTCCAAAGTTCTGGGGGCATCTTCTGATAGGTCGTCAATATTAATATTTAGCTCCTGAATAACAACCGGCTTAAAATATCTTTTTTGAAAGGGTGTATTACCTTCATCTTCACAGCCTCGAAGTGTCGCAGACACTTTCTCAGTTTTTAGTAAAGCAAAACCTTCCATTTGTGGCTCCAGCAACACTTTTCCGCCTGTAATATGTTTCTTTCCAGTGCTGATCCGCACAGCCAACTGCTGGCGCTCACCAAGGCATACTGATTGATAGATTAGCAACAAAAGTTTAGGATAAAATAAACACCAATTAACTACGTACTCTGATCTGGTTGGCACACTGTTGCTTGGAGACGGTTCATGTCATGGTTGAGGCGTAAAATACGCTTCTTTTGTCCGTCTTTCATGAAATTGTGCATAAATACCAGCTTGCCAACATGCATTTCACATGCTTCGACAACATAATTTCCGGAGGTTGACGTCTACGGAGATAAAACGCATGTTTAACGCAAAATAAAAATAGTTCCACAATGTACAAGCTAATCGCTAACAAGCATTTTTCTCTTTACCTTGCTTGTAAGATATATTTTGTTCTTTCCTGGTGCCAAGTCCAGGTCTTTAGTGTCGAACCACACCTGCTCTGGGTCATTGCCTACAAGACGCAGACAGAGATTATCACAATGGAGGCTCTAGATATTGGTATCGGACTTAGTTTAGCAGTATAAATTTTCATGCATGAAGAATACAACGATATTACCTTAGGCAAATGGTTCTCTATACAGATCTCGACGCTGCTGCTTTCAACCGTGGATTGTTCATCAATGATAGACACGACGGTTATTCCAAACATCGGAGAAAATGCTCGTCGTATATCTTATTTATGCTGACCATTAGCTTCAATTCCCTCATATCCCTTGCAAATGAACATATCCTTACCAGAATCAAGCTTGTGAACATTAGAGAGGAGGTCTTCCATATACCGAGTGGCTTCATCCTTGGACAGCCATTTTGCATTCTTTAGTAAGGTTAGCAGCGATTCAATATATGTAGATAGCGAAAAAAACATCATTGGTTAAGGACTTCTTCGTTGTGAATTATTCATGTGTAACGCGATGGGATTTAAAAGGAAAAAAAAAGGATATTGATCAGTTTTTCCCAGACGCTGCTGTGAATCGGCACACTTTATAAGCAGGCTGTTCTCGATAGAGCCCCACTCTTGCTCGTCATATCGCCAAATCATTGATTCATAGATCCGTACTGCTTCGTCAAGCTTGTCACGAGTACTACCGAAATACCATGTTTAGTCGTTGAACAATAGCTGTTTAATCAGGACCTCGTATACTTACTACTTGAGTGCGGCAATGTCTCCATGAACAGTGAGTGCAGCTTTTGGCCGATGGCAAGCGTCGTAGCTTTTGATGGCACGTGTGCTCAAAGCCTATTCGTTTTTCAACATAGAATATCAGATTTAGTTTCACATATTACTAATCTAATCCTTTGGCAAAAGGCGTCTTCATACCATGTACATTTTGTCAAAAGCTTCTACAGAGTTGATAGCTTCGAGAAGCTTCTCATTGGTCATAGGTCCTTTGGGTTTTGCTGGTGGCGATTTTGCGGTGTCGTCGTTGAGCTTAGTATCCAAAAAGATAGAAAAGGGCTCGGTAACAGGAAGGTGTTTATGCTTGATACCCAGCTTATCCAACTGTTGTTTCGCAAACAAACGAAACACTGTTAGAATTTGGCAGCTATAAAGTTCAACCATTTTATTCTGCCATACCTGTCTTCTTGCAGTCAGCAATAAGTCCGCCTTCACTGCACTGTAGAGCGCAATAAAGTTTGGATCAGCTGCTGAAAGATTCGTCGATAAAGGCTCACATTCGTTCACGATATTCATGCATGCAGAAAATACCCAGGATTCCACAAAATTATCCACCAGAACATCCTAGTCAAGCAGATTCTGTTAAAACTTACGCACCACTAACACACGTTTTTTGTTTACCCCACAATCGTCAGTTCTCAAGCACCGACCTCATTTTCTCGGATCGCTGGTATGAAACTGCTGATAAATAGTTGACCACGCTTGCAGATTTCTATGGTTCTTTGTAGCTTTAATAGCATTCGCGTTTGTCGTGCGAACAAGTAGCAGCGGAAATCGAAGACTGAGATAACGTTTTTGTTGATCAGCTCGCGATAATCCTTTCGTTTAAAATCCATAATATTGCCACAATCATCTCCTGGATCCGTTGCACCAAAATGCCCAAACCAAGCAAGTGCCTTATCTGTTGTTTCCCATATTTTATGTATCAGTTAGTTACATGTTCAAAATATATATGAAGTATATACAAATTGATGTTATTACCTCTCAACACCTGGAAAAATGATGCCTCAAGTTCGTCATACTGAATTAGAGCATCCTCATATAACGACATGATTTCAAAAGCTTGTGCAAGTCCTTCCTGCAAATGTAATCAGGGTACTATTAGTGTTGTTTCCCTTATCATCCATCGTGTGTGATTGATAGCCCAACTTACTTTAAGTATGAAAAAAGTGCAGTAGTTCCATCCAGGCATATTGCGCTGCAAATCCAATCGTCGAGCATCCTCCTGAATTTGTAACACCTGCATATCGAAACTCGCCAGTATGCTTTCCTTCATCTTTTCAATAAATCCGCCCCAAAGTTCAGACGATGGTCCATCCGGGTCTACGATACGAATATATGCGCACCTAAAAGAGAATGGTTGTCGGACTTAGTGACCACCACCATCTCAACACTACCTCGTTTCACTTATGCATCCTTGCAGGCCCCCGTCAAAAGACATACCTATCACGTTTTCCTTGACTAAAGTCTGCACGGATCTTATCAAAGACCGTAGTTTTCAAGCCGAGATAGTTGTTACTGCGCTTCGTGTCTTGGCCAGCAACATAGACAATTAACCATTCTTGGTTCTTTTTGGTTCCGATTAAATCCACCCACGTCTTGATCTGTTTTTTGACCTTGTTCTTATACGCGTCGTTATCCTATACATGTCATATAGAGTGCATCGTTCGTCAGATATGTCGTAAATCGTTGATTTATCTCACACACTGCTCGTCGTTTCCTTGCATATAAAAATTATTACATCGCAGTTGACAAAATAGAGGTTCAGGTACGTCGTATGTGCAGCGAGCAATGGTAGTGGAACCTGGTCAAAGTTGAACCGCTGCAAGTCGACTTCGAGGGATGGAATGAATCGTTCAGAACGTTGGCTGGATGGATGCCATTGTAGATTCCTTAAGGGGAGCCGTGATGAAAGGTCGTTTGCTACAAGTGGCCAAACATCAAACTCGTCGCAATCTATAGGCCCACCATCACCCACAATTAGCTAATACGTTCATATTTAAACTTCGTCCATTACAGTGGCTTTCTAAAGGACAGAAAAAACTCACAGGTGACGGTGACCTTTCTGCCGTTCATTTTAGCGACTCGGTGTGTTCTCAAGTTAAAGCGTTATTTTATTTAACCTCTCATTTAAGCACGGTGCCTTTTGCGGCTAGAACTCCGCGTTGCTTGTGATCAGGGCGGTGAAACGATCAATTGCAAACACGTAGCTTTATAATCATTTTAAAAAAGATATTTTGTACTGTAAGCAAAAGCTTTTGCTGATGAGATTATGAAGAAAGGGCAGTGGGATGTACGGGAGTTGGAGGCATTGAGCCTAATGCTGCTGGAGGATTTGGGATTGAGTAATGCTGTGCAGCATATTGAGCCCGTTCATGCTCCTTAATCATGACGTAGAACCCATGTAAAAGGCCTATAGAGAATGTGTGTACATATACGCAGTTATTTATCTTTTGTTTGAGGCGCTCTAACGCAGCACGCTATATGTACGACTGTCTACGTACCGGGAATATACCCTAAGAGCGTCAGACAGCTATAGTCAAAAATGGCGTGAGTTGTGCAATGTGATTAGCACGAAATGTATATCATTCAACTTTTTAAGCGTTGAGCTCTATGAAATAGTCTCCTTACACATTGATCCAGAAATCTGGATCACATCCTTTCATCAAAAACACGCCTACTGGCGGCAGTAAAATAAGGATAAGAATCATGCAACAGTCTTCCATCATTTGTGATAGTGGTGGTAGCAAAAGTAGTAGAGACCAGTAATTTACTCAACAGCGAAAAAGAAGATACCAAAAATCTGGGGAGAAAAGAAGGAAAAGAATAGGCCATCGTGGTCAAGTAAACGGGCAAACATGCTACTCTTGAATATCACTTGATCAGAGAAAGTGGCAGTACTATGACGCACTACCTAGATAAATATCAAATTACGTTGTAGTTGTTTGACGGGCATGGTAATTTTACTGCTATGCCTTCTTCACTCTATTATTACGAACGAGAAGTTTTGGTGGAAAAAATACATCATACAAGTTGCGCAAGAGCCCGTTATCATAAATATTATCTACTTCGTCCAGACTATTAATTTTACGTTTCGAGCACGACTTTGCTGTTTTCGCTTTACTGTCTTCCTTTTTGCTGCTGCTCTTGTTTTTGGCTGTGGTGTTTTGTTTGTGTTCGTCATCCGAGTTATCCTCCTCAATCCACAATTCACCACGGTCGATGGCGTCTTCAATCAGTTCCCATTTGAATGCCTCGTTAGTTGTGACTCCACGGCCTGCCAAATACAGTCTATGTGATATTAATTCGAATTGATTAGTATTGAAAATCCATCATACTTCACAAAATAGATAGCACAAGAAATAGGGCTTACTGATACAGAAAGAACAAAAAGACAACAAAGGAAACGACAGATGCCAAAATCGCTATCGAACCGATAATTCGATCTCTCTGCAAGATATGCTGTATTGTTTGTTGTAACACAAACGCGCACATGTCAGTAAAAGTCCAATAGAGAGACAAAGCACAGACAGGTCACATGACAGTTATATATTTTACCAGCATAGCTTTTCTGAACGTCAGTGGCACTGTAGTTCCAGTAGCTTTGTCTTGCATATACGCCTTGTCAAGTCCCCATTCAATAACAAAGCCTCGATATATTTGGATGCACAAGTAAGCACCATAGGCGCAGAATTGTGTCAGGGTGAATAAAAATAGGAAAAAGAAGCGGTGGTTGTTGACCCCCACGCACTGGTTGATCCAAAAACAGTGGTGATCCAATTGTCCGATACACGCTTTGCACATTGAGCAATGTTTCGAACGTGCTGGTCTACAGTAACCATGTAGCAGGAGTTTTGAGCATAAAAACAAAGCATAATCTGGTGGGGTTTTCCTGCGCCATCACTCCCAGAGTTAATAGTTCATAAGAAGGATGTACTTATTTACTTTGGTATGTGACAAGTGGTACAATCCTTGGGCTCGTAGAGTAAGCCGTCATATTGATAATGGTCGAGAAATTGCTGGATGTTGTCCTTAGTTACAATGCCGGGATCGGTTGCACACGCAAAATAGTATGATGCGTATAAAGATAATATTTGTGCTGGAATTATGTATCTATTATACCATCACCATTAAATATTTTGACTCCAAATCTGTAAATCGTATCGAAAGACAGGTGGACTTACAAGTGAACCGGATGGAGGTAAATTCCTGGTATATTGGGTAAAGCATATTTGAGAAACAAGCCGATGGATCCACCGGTTAGAAATAGAAAGAATATCTAGCAGAGTATAGTAAGTATTGCCATCAGTACATGTTCAAAGAAAACCGTTTTACTTGGAGGAATGGATTGCGCGATTCAAAGGAATATCGCCAGCAACCAACAAGGCGGGCCCAATTTGCCGGACCGAGAACCCGCTTAAACGTTGCCCTGGATTTAGTAGGTGGTGTTAGCCAGGCATAAGTAAACCCCCTTTTTTGCAGCAAAACTTACAATAAGCTATTAGGACCTTGGACCGTCAGGAATGTATGGAACTTGCCGATAAAGCCATTCCTAGGGTCGATTCGTTATTTTCATTGCAGGCTTTTTTGCTTTTTCCCTTTTTACTTGTCCAAGTGTACCTTAATCGTGGACTTTGACCAAATAAAAGAGTAAATACAATCACTCCAAAGGTGATTAAGACTGCGATCGCTGTACCGAGCACAGTCTTATGAGGAAGAGACGAGAATCTGTAAGTTATTTATTTTCGACGCTAATGAGGCAGATGAATCACTTTTCACAGTACCATTGAGTTATCAAATATGTCCCGCTGCTTTCTGCTTTTACAGTTTTGCTGCACAAGTTAAAGACAGCATTATTAAATTCACAAGCTTCCAAATTTAATTTTCTTGGTGTTGCCAAGGAAACAAAGTGGTTGTCATGTGCTGTTACAAAGAAGCGTTGTATACTTGTACTCATGTCGTGTTTATTTTGAGAGCAATGGTGGTGGTAGTGGTAGTCAAGGATGATATTATGCTATATACAGAGTGGTTTTTGAATGTTTTTGTGGTTGAGAAGGATCAGATTTCTATCGACGGCCTCCACGTCTGCTCGCCGCAAGCACGCGAATCTCGATATCCGCAAATGCATCCTCCACAGGAACTGCAGCTCCGTTTATCGGTACCGAATCCTCAAGTTCATCATGGTCTCCATAATGATCGTCTACAAAGAGAAGCAAGTCAACATAAAGTCAGCGTGCGGTCGAGTTAAGGGTGACTGTAATAAAAGGTTTCCTCCGGAACATACCACGAAGCTGAAGCTCATCCTCCTGAGTAAGTGCTGCTGGGATAAATTCCATAGGATTATGAGGATTCCTTTGACGAACCTGCAATGATAACCAAGGGAGTCTAGGTTAGAACTTTCCTCTGTGCTTATATAGATCGCTTGTAAAGAGTAGGCCTTTTTCGCATACCTTTTTGAACCGCTTAAAATTCGCGTGGCCCTCATCTCGTTGTGTTCGTCGACGTACACTAGTTTGTGTTGGGCTGCATAGGATGCTTGCAGACAAAATAGAGGTATATTTTTTGCCAGGAATGATGGGGATTTCTTCATTTATATTTTCATGCTCTGGTGCATTATCTCCAGGAATATCTGGAAATTCGTCGTTTTGGTTGTTTCGAGGCTGTCGGCGGCTGGACCTTTGCTGTCGTCTTGTTGTAGTAGCTGACTGGGGAATTTCATTACTGCTGTCTTCAACAGCTGTCTCATTGCGTTGACCAGGTACTTGACGTCGTGTTCGTCGCTGTTGTGGTGAATCAGGTTCTGGTTCAACTTCTGCTACTTCATCAATACCATCAGTGGCAGGTCGTTGCCTTTGACCGGGTAACTGTCGTCTCGATCGTCCTTGTCTTGCTGGAGCAGTCTCTGGAACTTCATTGCCATCGTCGACAGCTGATCGCTGCAGTTGCCCGGGTAATTCACGCCTTGATCTCCGCTGTCTGGTTGAAGCACCCTCAAGATCTGCTTCCAACTCGCTTGCATCGCCATTGTCTTGAAAGGCAAATTCAGGCAATTGTCCGGGTAATTGTCGGCTGGATCGTTGTCGTCGTCTAGTAACTGGCTCAGGCTCCGGTTCGGTAACATTGACGCTACTTCTGATGCTGGATGGTTGTTGATTAATATTTGGCGGTGGTGAAGTACTGGATATCTCTTCGTCATCATTAATGCCACTGATTTGCAAAGAGGGTGATGGAGGCATTTGCTGTATCGAGGGAGAATATACAGGGTCAGGATCACCAAGAAGGTCGTCGAAAAAGTCGCCCATTGATGCAGATTCCATAACAGCACTAGTGGGTGCTGGCCGCTCAGTTGGTGATGTTGGAGGTTGATCTGACAGCATCACGATTTCTTCTTCCTCTTCTACATTGTCTTCCGCGAATTGTATCCGCTCTCCTTCAGGGATTATTGGGTTGCAGGCTTTGGATCTTGAGCATGCGATAATCGCGTCACTGATTTCATCTCCCATGATAGCACGTTTGTGTCTAACAATCCAACAATATCTCAATCAGTATGTTCTTCTCTTTTCGTGACCGGTAACACAATTCTTCAATATTTACTTCTTTTTCAATGCGTTGGCGATTTCCTTGAATGATTCAGAGTTTTCGTCAGGGGGTGTAACAATTAACCGGTCTTCTGCACAAAGCTCTTCAACATTGAACAGCCTTTTTAACGAACATGGCTTTGATTTTCCTTTGGCTGATTGGATGACGGGTGTATAACGATCAAACTAATAAACTTATAATTAAGCATTTATACGAATTGCTTCAGCAGATATGTATGAGCTTCTGCGCTACCTGATACTTGTCAAATATCCAGAATTCAAGTCCTGCGAACAGTGTTGCTCGCTTCGGCTTTGGCTCAAAATCTTTTTTGGTCAGGTTAATATCTTTTGGGATAGGTGGTAAATGGTCCGCTTCGATAGGCCATGCAAAACGAGCATCATCCTGAGATGCCATTGCCTCCAACCACCCCATAGATATGATCCGTTTGGCGCTCGTCATACAGAGAAAGAGTTTTGATACGATCTCAATCCGTTTCATGTAGAGATGGCTACAGGTATCGTTCCACTCTTTGGTTAAAAGTACACCTGGTCGAATGGACAAGATATTTATGTATATTAGGCAAAAGAATCCTTGAATGCTTTGACACAATAGAAGCAATCGAATCATGCAAACGACATACCCAATTGACACACCAGTTTTGCAACAGCAGATTTGTCTGCGTTTGACATTGACGGTATACAGATCACCACTGGTTCCCACACCAATCTTAACGCGCTGTTGAGTGACCCAAACTTTATGGTATCACCATCATTAAGGTTCGTCTCGGTAACAACGGGGTTCGTATTAAGAAACGTGCCATACTTTGAGTTTTGGTCTTTTAATCGTACTTCAGGCCGAAAATGTGCGTTGAACTACACAACCGTTCTTTATGTGTTTAGTTACCCTTCCCGGAACACAACCTTTTCTCTCTTCTCGTTTAGACAGTACTTACTGCATCACGGCTATTTTGTTGTCCAATGACGAACGTGGCATGTGATCGGCTCACTGATTTATCATTGAAGATTATACTTGTACCTACGAATCCCAGGGGCAACATTAGCCGTATACTTGCAGATCGTAGATCTATTACTTACCCTTTCGACCCACAGAGTACTCGATTCCTGGCCGAGCAAGTATCCTGTCTTCTGTATCTGTAATAGTTTTAAGCATTAGTTGAAATGGTAAGGCGAATGCCACCATAGCTTTTTGCATACCTTCGTTATTTTCGTCGAGTTTGTACAAGAACCACATTGACAATCTTTTAACAGATAATGCGCGTTGCGGTGCTTCTGTCAAAGCTCCACCGCATGCAAAGCTCGCCTCCTTTTTCGTTGCCCGATAAATCAACGACCTCCCTCCTCGTTTTTTTAACATAAAACACAGAATGAAGGCCTTACGTGTGCTGCTTATAAGGCGTTCTGCTTGGTTTCTGCGAGATAAAGGCATCATTACAAGAGCTAAACTTGCAGATGGATTTACATTGGTATTGCGCTACTATCAGGGAATTACTAGCGTTTGCAAGTCAGTTGACAGGTCTCAGATAGCAACATTTTTACACTATGCATCGATTATCACCATAATGTAAACGATATGGCTCTCGGATGACTTGCACAAGTCAAAGGCTAATCGACACACTAATGCTATCACAAACTCTAAATATAACTGACAACGGTGTAAAGGCATTCCTTATCAGTCAATAATTGATAGAGTAAATTATGTGATAACTGCGAGTCAGTATCCCGTGTAGGACGTCAGACGATGCGCAAAATTAATGGTCAGCTTACAGTTATATTATACCAATATCATTACCATCACCATTACAGAAACACCAAGATCGTAAAGTTGATAATCAAGAAAACAATAGTTCCATGTATGCACTATTTAAATTTATTTACAGTGGCATCAAAAAGCATCAAGCTGCAATGCTAAAAACTCATCATTTGTGCTTATGGTTAACTACCTAAAACATGAGCTATCTGGCTGAAAGGATACGAAATGTTTAACAAGGATCACAAATAGGTTATTGGAGGCCTACAGATACGCGTTTAACGATCTAAACTCACGAAACTTATTCAAGAACTCCGCTGTCGTCGGCTGTCTATAGCTCAAACGGTAATGAGAGCCAGCTCTCTCTCTCTCTCTCTCTTTTTTTTTTCAAGACACTTGATTTTAACTTTACACAATGGACGAGTTGGAGCAGCTTGAAAAGCTCTCCCTTGTGAACAAGGTTATCAGTGAACTATATAACCATACTGGTCTTAGTGACAAAGTTTTAGGTGAGCAATCCCTCTTAATAAGCTAAAAGTAAAAAGGTCATAATACTGATCTATATGATTTTCTCTTTGTTATGTAGCTGAATATATTTTGCATTTACACGACGAAGCCAACGGATCAGTACAAAAGTTTAAAGACTCGCTCAAGGATGCCGACTTCTCTGAGTCATTTATTGAAAACTTGGATCGTATTATCAACACCATGAAACCAAAGAAAAAGCTCGCTGAGCAATCGGCAGAAGAAAAAGCAGAAAAGCTACCCGGCCTTGCCTTGGCAGACGATCCAAAGTGGCTCAAGAAACGACAAGAAGATTTGGATGTAGCAGAAGATATGATGGCCGAATTAGAACAAGGTGCTGTAGAACAACGATCCCGCAATACACGTGACGATCGCAATCGGTCCCGTTCACCTTCTCCTGCTTCTCGACGACGACGAGACCGATCACGTTCACGCAGTCCTTCACGACGCCATCGACGACACGACAGAAGCCCACCGCCAGACCGCCGACGAAATGAGATTGACGATACACCCGTAATGTACAAGATTTATGACGGAAAGGTCACAAACAACTCCAAGGACTTTGGTGCTTTTGTTCAACTGGAAGGCGTGCGTGGACGAGTGGAAGGAATGGTTCACATCAAACAAATGGCGTCGGGCATGATCCGACATCCAAGTGATGTTGTGCAGCGTAATCAGCGAGTCAAGGTTAAAGTGATGTCGATCGCTGGAAATCGGATCGGTTTGTCAATGAAAGATGTCGATCAGCGCACGGGTCAAGACTTGACACCCCATTTGCGAGTCAGGTCCCAAGAAGAGATAGAGTCGATGGCAAGCCGTAACCCGGACCGACCAGGCGCAATTCCTCCTAGCAGACGTTTCGAAGACGACGGTCCTTCGCGTGCCGTTAAGCGCATGTCATCACCTGAACGCTGGGAAATCAAGCAGTTAATTGCCTCCGGCGTAGTCAACCCGGCCGACTATCCAGACTTGGATCAGGAAGATCAGGATTTCGCAGCAGATATGGAGGCAGAAGAAGAAATCGATGTCGAAGTGCGAGAAGAAGAGCCTCCTTTCTTGTCAGGACAGACAAAGAAGACATTGCAGCTTAGTCCGGTCAAGGTTGTAAAGATTCCTGACGGAACGTTGAATCGATCTGCATTGGCAGGTGCTGCACTTGCAAAAGAACGTCGTGAACTTCGCCATCAGCAGCAGAATGAAGAAATGGACGCGGTTGCAAAGGACGTCAACCAGCCATGGCAGGATCCGATGCCAGAACCAGGCCAGCGACAGTTTGCTCAAGATATGCGTGGTCAGGCTGCAGGCGCTAAAACTGAAATGGCAGAATGGAAGCGAGCTACATTCAATAATGCGACTAGTTTCGGTAAAATTACCAGCTTGTCGATCCAAGAACAGCGAGAATCGCTGCCTATTTATAAGTTGCGTGATTCTCTTGTACAGGCTATTGCAGAGGTATGTACTTTTACTCTAACTACTATCCTGTTAAAAAATAGAAAACTGCTTATGCTAAACTACCCCCTTTTATTCGTTTAGAACCAATTTTTGGTAGTCGTTGGTGATACCGGTTCTGGTAAAACGACACAGATGACGCAGTATCTTGCAGAAGAAGGTTTTGCGAACCGGGGTAGAATTGGCTGTACCCAACCTCGTCGTGTCGCTGCCATGTCTGTCGCCAAACGTGTCGCCGAAGAAGTTGGTTGTCGTGTGGGTCAAGAAGTTGGCTACACTATTCGTTTCGAGGATTGTACGAGCCCAGAAACGCGCATCAAGTACATGACTGACGGTATGCTTCTGCGCGAATGTCTGATCGATCCTGCCATGTCGAACTACTCGGTTGTTATCCTTGACGAAGCTCACGAACGCACTATTTCAACCGATGTGTTGTTCGGTCTTTTGAAACGTAAGTGGCTATCTGCTTGATGTCTTATATTCCATGACGACTTGCATACTCATATGAGATGGATTTTTTAGGTGCTGCTAAAATTCGACCCGACCTCAAATTGATTATCACGTCGGCTACGTTAGATGCTGACAAGTTTGCCACGTACTTCAACAACTGTCCAATTTTCACGATTCCTGGTCGTACCTATCCTGTCGAAGTGTTATATACCAAAGATCCCGAATCCGATTATCTGGATGCAGCTTTGATCACAGTTATGCAGATCCACTTGTCAGAACCGCCAGGAGATATTTTGCTGTTCTTGACAGGTCAAGAAGAAATCGACACATCTTCCGAGATTTTATATGAGCGAATGAAGGCACTTGGATCGGACGTACCAGAATTGATCATTCTACCGGTGTATAGTGCCTTGCCAAGTGAAATGCAGTCGCGTATTTTCGAGCCTCCTCCACCTGGAAGTCGCAAGGTTGTCATTGCCACCAACATTGCCGAAACATCCATTACCATCGACGGTATCTTTTATGTGATCGATCCAGGTTTCGTGAAGCAAAACAAGTGGGATGCCAAGCTCGGTATGGATTCGCTTGTGGTTGTGCCCATCTCACAAGCAGCTGCTCGCCAGCGCGCTGGTCGTGCCGGACGCACAGGTCCTGGCAAGTGCTATCGTTTGTACACCGAAGCTGCTTACCGCAACGAAATGCTGCCGAACACTATCCCGGAAATTCAGCTGCTCAATTTGAGTATGACTGTATTGATGCTTAAAGCCATGGGTATCAATGACTTGCTGCACTTTGACTTTATGGATCCACCTCCCGAAGCCAACATGATTCAAGCGTTGGAGCAGCTGTATGCTCTCCAGGCTCTTGACGACGAAGGTCTGCTTACCCGATTGGGTCGCAAGATGGCTGAATTCCCGCTAGAGCCTCAGTTATCCAAGATGTTGATTCAGTCGGTTGATCTCGGATGTTCGGATGAAATTTTGACGATTGTTGCTATGCTTACAGCGCAGAACGTATTTTATCGACCCAAAGAAAAGCAGGCTCAAGCTGACGCAAAGAAAGCCAAGTTCCATCAGCCCGAGGGTGATCATTTGACGCTGCTCACAGTCTTTAATGGATGGAAGGCCAATGGTTATGCCAATCCATGGTGCTTTGAAAATTTTATTCAGGCACGAAGCATGAAGCGCGCTTTGGATGTACGGAAACAGCTTGTTGGTATTATGGACAGGTATGTCTGTTTTTGTTTGTCACACTTACGGCTCCGTCAACATCACGCTAAATAGTCTTGCGTTTTCAGATATCGACACGACATTGTATCTTGCGGTCGTAACTACAACCGAGTATGTAAGGCGCTTGTCTCCGGCTACTTTAGAAATGCAGCAAAGAAAGATCCACAAGAAGGTTACAAGACGTTGCTGGAAGGAACTCCTGTGTACATTCATCCATCCAGTGCATTGTTCAACAAGGGTCCAGAATGGTGTGTTTTCTTCACTTTTGCTGCGTCGTTATTACCATCGTATTACCGTAATTTCGCTTTTCAAAGGATACTAAACCGAACTTGGTGTATAGGGTGATTTATCACGAAATTGTCTTCACATCCAAAGAATATATGCGTGAAGTAACGGCGATCGATCCAAAATGGCTTACCGAGGCAGCACCTACGTTCTTCCGTATCGCAGACGCAAACAAGATATCCAAGCGCAAGCGACAGGAAAAGATCGAGCCATTGTTCAACCGATACGAGAAGCCAAACCAGTGGCGTTTGAGCAAAGTCAAGCGCGGTGGAAGAATCAGCCAAACATTTGGCTAAGCATGTTTATTTTCTTACATTTCTTTTAATTACAAGACTCATTGTTCATACCACTTCTTGCAGACACACACAAAACACCAAATCCATGTTTACTCATATCAATTCAGAAATAAAAATAAACCAAATGGAGTTGAATGTACATAACAACAAGACTACAATTAATCTACTTTGGTTTTTACGACGTTTCGGTCTTGCGCATGATATACAACCAATAATAAATCTGGGGTGCTCCTGGTTTATCGTGCGATTGATCCGCTTTGATAGGTACAGCGTGTTCACGACGCCATGTCCATTTGCCTTGCTGAGCAACATGTTCCCGCTCGCCCGAGAAAGAAAGCGAAATCCATATGCCGTGCGGTCGGGTCACTGACATGATATTCTGCGCTAAAATTTGCTGATTGACTAGATCATCCGTATCGCCGCACGCAATAGCATCGACTAGACTCTTGTCGATTACGACAGAGTACTCTTCCCGCGAAGCTGCTGTACTATCCAGCTGCAATTGCTTTGCAATGGGTCGAAGGCAGTCAGCTGTGTGCCACGTAACATGTGGGTATCGACTGGTATCCGTCATGGACCGCATGTTCTGCACCACATTCTGTGCATAGTCCACGTTGACGATATGTGGGTATCCGCGATCAGCCATATCAAAGGCCATGGTCGAATTGCCGCATCCTTATAATATCCGGTTGGTCGTTAAAACTAGTTGTTATCCAACTTATATACTGTTCTCTTTTTTTGATGTTACAGGTCCCTACTAGTAGAAAAAGAAAGAAAAGGGACAAAGTCGATCGAAACTGAGAGAAGAAAAGTTTACCGAGATGAAGAATGGGTTCTCCCGGCTCAAGGTATGGTTCAATATGTGATTGCAAAGTTTGCCATGAAGAAAGCCATTCATAATGATTTTCTTTGTCGAATCGTGATTCCCAGTATTCTTTCGAGTGAAAAGGGACAGCCTTCACTGCCATGATTTCGTAGAGGAAAAGAACCCAGTAGTCGGGAGCAAAAACGAAAAAGAAAGAGTAAACTTCTTTTCCAGTCCTTCATATGACGCGTCCAGAAATACGCCGTGAACGATTAAAGTTTAGTTCGCCAGAAAGCAAAGATTCTTTTTATGCGCAGGCTCTCAATGAGGATACTCTAACCTGTTTCGTCTGTCGATTGTCACAGAAGTGGCTGTCTGCGGTGGCAGCATGCATTGTGCGATCACTGTTGTACCAGGCTTATTATTATTATTGGACATGCGCATGTTATCAACCTGATTTTATATGCCAGTATATCACCATCAAAAGTAATACATTGTCGATGCTACGGTCGATAAGCTCCAACACATGCAACTGCCCCGCTGTGTTGGTACCACAATGAACTGTTTTTGCAGTAATCATTAAAAACACCTTGTGTGGCAGTTAGGTCGTCGGGGCTGGTTGAAGGGTTGAAGGGCACAGGAGCCGACCATAGACAGCGGGGAGTTGAATTCGCGCTGCGCGCGTGCTCGTGCGTTTCTTTCCCAATAACCTCTTCGATTCCAACATGGGCCAAACTGCTGGCAAAAAACGCCAACGCCAAACGCTGCAACAACCGCAGAAACAACAACAACAACTAAAGCCACTTCCACAGGGAAACTCACATATAACCGATTTCTTCAACAAAAAACCGGACACGAAGAAATCGCCAAACATTGAAAACGAAGTTTCAATTGCCCAATTCAAAAAAGATGTGCGTACCCCACGGCGCGGATTAGGAGAAAAAGTTGATGAAAGCCTCAAGACTGTAACAAAAGCGCGCCGCCCATTACAACAAATCGGAGGTCTACTGACTACGACCAGCTTGAACACGGGGTTGAAAAGGGCACCTGAACCTCGCGACCGATGGATCGTATATAGCGATCCACCAGAAAAAGAAGAGAAGGAGAACAGCGACCACGAAAACAAAAATTTAAATGACAATAACGACTATGACCAGAACGATAACATCCAAGAGAAAAATGAGGGGCAAAAAGGGGAACAGGAGGCACCGTCAGTATTACCAGTACCACAGCAATTAGGAGAAAAACCCCAAGAACAAGAGCGAAACGCGCCCCCAGCACAAGAATTTGACAGCGATGGCCGGCGGTGCGCAGCACTATCATCACGGCTACCGACATTCGCTTTATCTGACGATGAATGCTCAGCCAATGAAGAAGATGAACTGTATAAAGACTTTTTCAACGATGATGATGATGATGACGATATGCTAATTACCAAAACCCGACGGCCAAAACGGTTCGGTGCATCAAAAAGCACAACAGCCTTATCACGATCACAGCATCAACAATCACAACACGAAAAAGACGAAACAGAAGACGACGAACTGGTGCCACAGTTCAGTATACCCGCGCCATCCCCTGTATTTGACGAACCTTTGGCCTCTTTCCCTATCGATCCAAATCATGGAGAAGAAGAAGACGATAACGACGATAACGAAGTTAACGATAACGACAATGGTCATGACCGGAATGACAACGACAACGACGACTTTTTCCCCGCTTCCGCCTCTTTCCCGCCTCTTTTTACCACCACGCTTCCTAACGACTCACAGCAAGAGACCGAGGATAGCAGTGCGCCATCCCTGGACAAGTGCGACTCCAAACTTCAATTGGACGATAAGAAGCAGGAGATAAAGCGGACATTGTCAGACAAAACGGATGACGGCTCTGCACATGGCAAAAACAACACATCGCTCACACCAACAGTGCCAGTTGAAGTCGACGAACAGTTTGAAGCACATGTTGCGTACCCAGTGCCACGGGGCACTACTTTGCTCGAAAAGATGGGGATCAAAAAGACTACCAATGTCAATGAACAGTAGCCAAGCCAAAGCCTTATCTCACACGCAACTCGTATTTTCACTCGCTCACTCACCCTTATGTCTTTACCGCAATCCATTATCAAACGTTTCTATTTTTTCCTTTCGCTTTCCTCACCTTTACTCTTCTACATACATACGCACACAACAACTTCTGTCTTTCTCTTTCCAAACAGAACACAATTTGGTTTCTTTCACAACCTGTATATATTAAAATAGCTTATTAAGTGCTTTGATTCGTAAATAAATAAAATTAACAGCTTGAAAAAAGTAGTTACAGGTTTAAAGCGTGCACGGGTGGTGATGAAATAAATGGGTGAATGGATGGTGTGAAAGTGATGGATTTAGTAGGAGATGGATTATGTTTGTGTGTGTGTACATCTACAAGAGTGAGGTGGTTGGTTGATAGGTACGAAAAGGGTACTCTATATGAATATTTATGAGAAAAAAAGTAATAGATTACGTGCTAAGTGGGTTTGTCTGTCTGTTATAGGCATTTGTTTCTAGATATGCAAATTGTTATTAGAGGTTTCTATCGTCTTCCACGAACGCGACACCATTGTGATCCATGCCGAGGTCAAGCAATTGTCCGTTCGCATCTCGCTTTACTTTTGCACTAAACGACAGGTCGTAGAGTTCAAAACCAAAATCCAAGTCTTGTGTGCTTTCCATTCGCATGAACCGATACCCCGTTTCCAGTATGGTGAACCTGCACTCAAGCATAGGCGTACGAGATGATGAAGAGCTGTCTTCTGCGTTGCATTCAATGTCAGTAGATGGATTGACTGGCATCTAATGGAATATAGTAAATGTCCGATTAAATTATTGTCCTTTTGCTTGTTCTTTATATCTGTGTTTGTTCTTACCCAATTGATACCGTCAAACGACGTCTGAATGTTCAATGTACGTCGATAGGTATACGGATGACGTGCCAGAAATCGAAACTTTAAAGGTATCCGTGTTGACATGAGTACGTCCAAACCAATGTAATCTCCTGCTTTGATATCTGCCATTCGTTTGAAATAGATATGTTTTTTTTTCTCTGTCAATTGCGCGTGTTATGTCATGTGCGTATGTGTTTCCCCTAGGTCCAAAATATTAACTTACATCTTTCAGATTTCCAAACACTACCGTCCTTGCCATCTACCGCGTTGCCATACGGGTATGTGTAATGATGATCATGGCCATCGTAGTACGAATCATGCATCTTTTCAGCGAGTGTAAGGTCGATGTTTGGCTCATACGAGAATATCCGGGGCTCCGGAAACGCTTCAACATTTGTCATGAAGAGACAACGGTCACTTGCACACGGTGTTCTGACACAGAAAACCCCAAAACGTCAATATTGCAGTACGACGGCGCATTCTGTCGCTTCATCTACCTTTAGAAACAAATGTATACCTTGTAGTCTGCTCGTAGTAATTTGGGAACGTCTCATCCGCTGCAAATACGCCAGTCCGATGAATCAAATGATTGTATAATGATACTACACCCGTGTGCTGTTGTTTTTCAGGTCAATACACATCCGGATTGAGAAAAAAAGAAGACATATCAATTATTAATCTCTTACCACATGCTGCCTTCCAGCTTTTGTGATATTTGGATTATTCTTGTTTTCAACAATAGCGCCCTCACGATCTTCTTCATCATTGAATGGCGGAAACACCGATGGGGTTCCCTCGAGTATATAGGGTGCCTGGTTGGTATATGTAATAAAGTACATGTCACTGTGCTTGACGTCGATCGGGTCCAATTCCATCAGTTCAATAAACTTTAAAACGGTCTCTTTGGATGTCAATGTGCCATATCCTACGTGTGCGTGGCACGTGTGTAAATGCACGGCTGTGATACATCCAATTGACATACGTTTAGAACCCACAAGAAGAAGAAAAATGGCCCTCATCAATTCAGCCCTGCTAGTTGTCCCGGAACCCCCTCCCTTTCAACCTACCATCATTATAAAAACACCATCGCCACTTGGCTTGTGCGTAGGCTTCAACATCGCGTGATTCAGCATGTATTAAAGTCGGATACTTCAAGAAATTGGCATACAAACTACGCCAATGTCGTGGTCCGGCGTGATCTTGAAAATAGCAATAAGGTGTCTTGGCTAATGAGCATCCGAGATAGCGTCCAGCATTATGCATGTTACTGTGCGAGTTGTAAATTTGGATCTTGCTCGACTGACACTTTTTGTTTGTCTCCAACACCTGTGCATCAATAATAAGAACGCGTACCATCATCCAAACGGGTGTGAGCCTCTTAAATAATATCAAATATAATCTTCACCCATACACATGCAGATCCACACACACACACACACGTGTACACCATACATACACTCCCAAATGTTTTTACTCCCTTACATTCATCGTCACATTGACTAGCGGATTATTGTTCCAGATAATGATACCGCCAAACATCTCGTATCCGCACAATTCATCCAACAGAGGTGTCAAGGTCTCTTTGGCCTCCTCAGCAACTTTCCACTGATCCTTTGGGTCGAACAATAATACAGCAGTAGTCAGTCCTCGGCCTTCGTCTGGATACAGCATATCCAGCAAATCGACTTCATCGAGCCAACCATAATGATCATAATGCCAGTCCTGATATTTCTTGCCGCTAAAGAACCCAACGTGTATCAAGAGTAACATTCCGGAAGCAAAGATGATGAGTGACAAAGCTAACAGTTCGAGCGGTGATGCCTTTTGGTATCGACGTCGTACGCGTATCTGCCAATCACTCAAATACTCTTGAATGCGGCTGTCCTGCCATGCTCGTTGGACGTAGGGCGGTATTCGGTGCTGAAAAGGATCTGAGCTAATGTTGATGTGGATGCCCCGCAATGGTAAATCGCTCAGTCTTGATGACGCTTGTTGACGCCGTACACTTCCCTCGCTGTTGCCATTGCTGCTGCCGCCGAAAAAGAAAGAGCTGGTTTTATCGTGCGACGGTCGCATGTACCGGCAATTGTTATTGTTATTGTTATAGTGAGTTGGTGGGAGTTGGTGGTTTACAGTACTAGGCTGTAGCTTTCCAACAAACTCTCAAAACTCTCGGGTTGCTCGGAGAATGAATCAGTTGACCGCTTGATCAATGCTTAATTAAGTGTACCTGCAAAGAAAGGGGTTGTAGTTGTAGTGGTCAAGGAAGCGTAAGATTCCCTCGGACATACACCAATGCATGGTTAATGCTTTTAAGATTTTTTGCACATATTGTACATCGAAGTGCTTACTCATATCTGTATCTGTGTGCTTTTATTTCCATGTCCACAATCTACACTGTTACTTACAACCGCAAAGAGCAGTTACTGGAGCACCGTCTTCCGTTCTAAGAAAAGATACCGATTGATATGCGCAACGGCTGGTATTGCCTGCAACATTAGTAGTTGGCTAGACTAATACATTGTATAGATGCTGTTGATTTATTAACGTCCAAAATTTTTAAGCAGAGCCACCCATGGACCCCCATTACTATTATACTGAAATACCACGTGTAGCATTCGCATAGTATTAAAGAATAATTTTTAAAGATACATTAAACGTTTGATAGATGTAAAAAATCAGGCATGAAGAAAAGAGAACAATTTAATGCGATCGCAGTAGTACAAATTGGACGCTGTAGATAATCTAAAAACAGTAACAATTCATTTCCACAAACGACTTAACAGATACAGTAATTGCTTTAAAAATTATGTCATTGTGTGATTGATGATTAGCGTTTGAGAATACAGAATCTGGAAAAGCAACTTCTGCTTCAACATTATATTTGTTAGAATTCAACTAGATTTTTTGCTACGAGTGTATTTCAATATATAGTATCAGGCACCCTATTTCATGCTAACACTCTATTGCCTGAAATAGTACATATCCTCAAGATTGGCACGCTAAAATATGTAGTTTTGACGGTTTTAAAGTTCATTGAACAGTGTCATACCGTGAGTAAATATGTAATTTATCTTCGATATATCGACCGATGCCCATCATGCTTTGAAGGTACGCCGCCATTAAACTGCACCGCTTCTCAGGACCGCGTCACCCTGCAAGGACGTTCAAACTGAGAGCCGAGCCCTTCCCCAACGTCCACAAACCCACTTGGGAGTACATTACTACGCGAGTGACTCACGAGGCAGAAGGTATTAAAAATGTCCTACAGGCAGCTAGCCATGGTCAGAAAGGAAGGCTAGGCACGTTTAAAGCTCCTTTATAGTCGATTACAGAAGTGTCGCAGCCACTGATCGTCGGGAAAGTATGGATTCGTCCTTGCTAATTATAGATAATCGCAGAGGGCGTATACTTTGTAATAATTTAGGACCACTGGGTCTGTTCATGCCCTATCTTGTCCTACACAACGGATCCAGTGGCAGGTATTTCTCAATTCTGTATGTACACCTCTGAACCGCTGCTCAAAGTGGGACATGAGCTAAAAGCCTAAAAGAAAGACTAAAAAGAGAAGTGTATGGATCTCAAGCAGCATCGCGTGCGTGCAAATGTGAAAGTGAGTAAAAAAAACTTATCAATAGATAATGCTACCAGAAATTAAGAAGAATGAGAAGGGAGAAATAGCCAGTCAAACCAAGGGTAGTTCGAGTCGTACACTAACCTTTCGGAAAGCCCTTGCGTGAAGCATGGCTCGATGGCGATGCTACGAGTAATTCCAGACTTCTTTTTGCAAGATAGCCGGCTGTAAAAGCTTCAAAATGAAAGTAAATGTGTTGATATTCAACACTTATATTTGTTTGCAGAATTTGACAAGTGCCAAGCTACCCACTTTCTTTACAAATAATTATTGATCGTTGCGCGTGCTGCTTGTGCTGATCGCTGTCACTTATTATGTAGTACATATGCTGGTTTCGTGCAGAGGAAAAGCAAGAAGCAAACGCGGGTGCTATACGTTCTAAAAAACGTCACAGCAGCGCAAATTCGCTATATCGTCAGCTAATCTCTGCTGATAGTGCTGCTGATTTTGGAAGAGAAATGGAGGGAGGTTGTCAAATACTACAGTAATAAGTTGTCTGTCGTTGTTGTCTTGGGTGCCGTTTCCGTAGCAACGCATAAATGATTCACAAATGTTGAGCAGCTCCGCGGGTACTTGAACTATCGCTGGTGAACTCGGCATACATAGTACTGCAAATAGGAGGGATATGTAGGCGAGATAGTAGGGAATGTGCGACAGATCCGCTTTGGCCAAGTCGACGCTATAGCAAAATACGGCATCTACAGCAAAGGCAAAATGGCCATTACCGAAGAGGCCAAATAGAGACACGCGAGACATAGACAGAATAAGCAAAATTCTAAACACATAGAACGACATTGCGCGTCGTGTCGTCGGCTTCATGAAGGACCTTTCGCACCGACACAGCGTAATAGTTTGAGTAGTTTTCGGTCTAATACTACTAGGGAATATGCTTCCTCTGGGCGATGCATGTTATACTATGTTCGTGACCTAAGAGTATACTCTGGTCTCAATGGCTTTTATTTCAAAGTAGTTTGAGTTCTACCGTGATCTTTTAGCTCTTCTCACATGCAAAACATGATACATCCTCTTCAGACAACATTGATTACATACTGTAGTAGACTGTAGCGTACCAGCTCTCATAGCATATAAGCATCATATAGCAAGGGGTAATCTCGAGCCGCAGGGTTAATCGTCACTGTCCCAAAAGTAACCTTTGTTTGAAACAATTAGAAGCATTCAGGAGGCTCTATTTTGCGCTTTTTTTTAACAGATCAAAGTCGATAGTATGAAAACAGCATAAGGCAGTTCAGAATGTTGGCAAATGCGTACATGCTTTAAAGCTCAATATCAAACGGAGAAAATAAAACGGCATGCAAAAGGTAAATTGTAGACTAAGCTAAAAGTATATAGCAGATGTTAGCGTAGTATATTCAGTAGTAGAGTGGGGTGATGGTGATGGAAGGAGCTGTACAGATTGGTATCTGCTATTTTCAGAAAGCAATACCACGAGAGCAACTGTTAGCAAGAATGGTTTTTTGTAACACACCGATCCATAGATTAACATCATGCATGGGGTCACACACACAATATCTTTCAAAATTTTGACAAATTGATTATGAATATGATAGAGGGGTCATTATCTTCATCAGTAATGTGACCACCAACCAAATTTCTTGGATCGACATACTTTGGTGGATTGCTTAAATTTATTTTGATTAGATGTCTCGTTTTTACAAACCGTAGAAACTCCAGGTCTGCAAAAATCGGGTGATAAGTTTTTAGAATTTGATAACTGAGATATACACGCAGGTGTTTGATCAATCAAATGCCAAGAAAAAATATATGATACGCATATGATACGGTCAATATGTCAGAGCACATATTATGCACATTCACCCTTGGTTGTTTATTCTACTACCTGTTGGTTGTAGATAGCATACATACAACCACATCTTAGGGTGTTTTTTATGGGCACGCAATGTGTTTGTTTTATACATGCGTACGTGCGCTCACAGTTACACCTAAAATTCTTCATACTGCTCCGTGTAAATGCAGCATAGTGAATGAAGAATGTCTTAATAGTATGTATAACCAAGCTGGGTGTTTTTGCTTGAATGCCAAGAAAAATATATAAGACACGTTACTGTTGTTGATGCGATGCGATGACATGCATGAATATCCGACCAGCATCCCCAACCCCCCCATCCTTTTTTCTCTCTTTCTTTAATCATCAGCTAATCGAGGTGGCTATTTTAATTAGTGAATAACACCGTCATCAGTTATCTTCTTATTATTGAGTGCTACATCATGTATATACCCTGTCTCTTTATAGAACGTTAAAAAGTTTTGATTTCAGTTTGAAGAGGCCATGCGGAACATTCGACATTTGCATCGAAAAAAAAAAACTCGCGTGTTCATTTATAGTTCGGTTATGCAATATTTGTGAAACAAAATGCGAGTTGATAGTTATCATTAGTAGGATGTACATTGCAGACATTTGTTGTATGTGGTGTGTACAACAAGCAAAGTGGCATAGCTCCGAAGACGATGACGGTGATGCTGCGATAGAATTCGTTGTTATTGAACGATGTTTCCATGATGGAAGACAAAGAAGAGCAGGATGAGGAATGAAGAGAGGAGAGAGACGCCAAAAAGTAAAAAGAGAGTAAGCTGCAAGAATCCAGGTGACCTGTTTATTGCAGGTCTACCAAAAAAGAAATGGGGACTATGTGTGTGTGTGTGTGTGTGTGTGTTTTTACTCCCTCAACTCCCTCCTTTCCCTCGTTCGTACATGTAACCCCGTTTCTTGGCAAAAAGGACCCTTCTTGTGCTTCTATAATGTAAACAACAACCGCTGCACCATTGCTAAATCGCGTGCTAGTTGCTTCTGCTTGTGTTGTGTGTCTTCAAACGAATTCAGAAACAGGATGCGGTTCTCTGAGTACCGCTGCCACAATTTGATGCGCTCTTCTTGACGCACTGTCGCTATCGACTCCGTATCCTTTTTCTTGGTAGCGGTGGCACTGACGGTGGCATGGAATAGCATGCAGCAGAAGCAAAGTCTTGCCAAGGATCGGATCGAAGTGGATTCCGATGCCGGACGCGTCTCAAACATGGCCCTATCGAGTAGTGAGGCAAAGGCATGCGCCCATGCAGAATCGCATAACCGACAGCATTCATCCCACGTGATATCCTATATTTGTTGGTTGCTGGTGTTGTTAGCTCCTTATTGTCAACTTGGTAATAGAGTAGGAGGAGGAGGAAGGAGGGGGGGGGGAGAAGCGCAAAAGAAAATTACCTGATTATGGTGAAATTGGGGAAATGTCTGCATAAGTGAGATTGTGAGCAAAGTGATCTGCGCCATGAATCTATTTGGAAAAGGCCGATCAGCACCAACATGAATCCTTTCCCCAAAAATCTCTCGTTCTCCACCCAATCCCCCTTAAACGCGCCTTTTTCTTCTAATTTTACCCTAACAAGAAAAAAAAAAAATTACGTTTTTCGCTCCATGCCTCAAACCACACCCCCCCCCTTACTTTCTTCATGCTCTCTTATTCTCCCATATAGGGTTTTGACCGTATCAAATTTGTGTTGTTTAATCTCAGTGTTTACCTTGGTGGTGGTGCCGATCCCAATATTTGGAAGCATTCGTTCATGAGATTCATGTTGAATGGTATATTGCAGTTATCTTGGCTTAGTTCTTTTAGTAATGTCTCATCCAGGCACAATGCTTTCAACTATGACATGACAAACAAAAACGAAGGAGTTGTGAGTATGAGATGACTGTAGTTGATGAATGACTGAATGGAATGAACGGTATGAGCTTTTTTCTTCTTTCCAATTTTCTATGTTTCTATGTAGAAGAGCAAATATTGCTCGTGCAGGACTTGGGAAAGTAGGGGGTTTGGAAGGATATTACGAGGAGGAAACGGCTATACGTGGGATACCCAAGGATACTATTTCTTCTATACACACACACGCATACACACACACAGAAAAAACCAGGGATAATCAATATACCTTGGGATCTGCAAAGAACTGTTTTGTCATGCCGTCGATCTCAGAGTTTAGCAGCGTGAGTAAGGGTGCAGGGCAGCCACGAATAATAGCCCGTGTAAATGTCTCCGAGAGCTAAATATCCACGAACGATGGAAAGGGTTAGGTTTAGAAGATGCTCAACACGTATGCTGCTATTACTGCTGTGAATATTGCCATAGCAACTAAGTCTATACTAGGCGTTACCTGGAAACATTCCCGTCCCTCCCATGTCTTCATTTGTGCTAAATATCTTAGAAGCGGAGCCATTTCGGCTGGTTGTAAGCCGCCATAAAGTGCTAGTCTATAAACAACAGCATCAGCACATTAGAGACAAGCTATGTTAAAGTTAGGAGGAAATTGGGAGACTTCTCTCTGAGGGGTGGTTGAAAACTAGAGGAAGAGGTGGTTTGGAGTGCTTCAGTCAGGCAACTATGTATTCTTACCGCATCTGAATGGATACACTTTTGGCCACAGTGCTGGGTGGAATGCTTTCAACGAATTGTTGTCCATGGACGATGCATAGCGAAGGACGGGTGGCCTGATTTTCCAGTATCTGTTCGCATTGCTGCAGGCTATCATGATAACATGAAACGGCAATTTATGGCATCCATTCCACAGCAACCCCACGCCCCCCAAATAATTTGTGTTAGATATTAGTAGTAGTAATAGCAGAAGAAGCAGTATGTCCTCCTCAATAAGTGACTTACCAGCTTTGGTATTGCATATGCAAGGATGCCTCGATCTCCAGAAGCCAGGCACATGACGGCATCCGCAGATCATCCAAAAGGTCGTACAAGAGACGATGGGTTTGTAGGTCCCGGTACGCCTCAGTCTCACGAAGCTTTTTTAGTGGTGGTATTACAGGTTAATTCCTTGTTTGTTTATGTCAATTTACGTACACATCACACGGGCATATTACCTGAAAGCATTGATGGAATATCTGTTGACGGAGTGCAACAAACGATGAACAAGAATCTGCAAGCACGGTAAGGCGAAATTGCTCTTGCTCTTGCTGCTGCTGCCCAATGAAACAGAGAGCCCAATTTAATAGCGACGCATTCGGCTGTAATTGCCGACAAAGGAAGTCGAGAACAATTAACCGGATCGAATACACTAAAAGGCATACAAGAGTGTTTAAGCGGGGCTCGTTGCCTTTTTCCTTTTAGCCTGATACGGAACACAAAACAGAGCATACTACACATACGGTGAGGCTTGTGTTCAGCTTCGAGCTTAATGGCTTGTTGACACAATGAGTTAATTGCGGCTGGATCGTCGAGATCGCGTTGAATCAGGGATGGAAGGAGTTGATTGACATGATGCTGACAATGTGTATACAAAGTCGGTTTTGTGTTTTAGTAAATAGAAAGGGCAAGGAGACAGGTTGGTTTAGGATTGGGGGTGGGGGAGGTGGAGGAGCGTTTCCCCCCCATCCCACCCCACGCACCATTAAAAGTAAAAGAGGCTCTTACCTGGTATATTTCGTCAGGGTATGGAGCGTTGGTTGTTGTTGTGGTGGTGGTCGCAGTCGCGTCACGGCTGTCGCTTTGGCCATAGAGCAGTGTTTGGAGCTGGGCAACTACGAAAGAGCAACCAAAACAAAAAAAAAAACATGCGATGGCAGTTAGCGGAGAGAAGCGCACTTAAGGGGAGCCCTGCCAAGCCTTTGGGTGTATAAACACAGTACTCGTATGCATCGGTGTGGGTGTGGGTGTGTGCAAAGAGAAAAAGGAGTGTGCGTGTGTGTTATAGAGTGGAGTTATGATGATTATTGTGTTTTTTTTGGGGGGGGGGAGAGCGAGGCAGAGAGTGGGTGGAGAGCGTGACTCTACAAAAGCTATTAGGAAATGGCAATCGGAAGAAGTTCAAGAAAGTTCTTTTTTTTTATAAATGTCCAAGTTTAGGCAAAATAAAGCACTCCCAAGCTATTTTTTTTTTCCTTTTTCTCCACCTCTTCTTCCTCTTCTTCTTCTTCTTCCTCCTCGCCTTCGCCTGCCACGCACTTTACACACACTCAGACACTATCGCCAGCATCGCCAACACCAACCATGGGTCGCCAATCAATTGAATTCTTTCTCCATCCGCCGTCTCCTCCGCGTCCAGAAGAGCCTTGCGTCGTCCTTCCGCCCATAAGCTCTCTTCTGCGAGACGCCCCACTGTCACCTCCTCCACCGTCCGCTCCGTCTACAAAAGAAGCACCACATTATCATCACCACCCGCCTCCGCAGATCAACGAGCCATCTTTCCCGCCAGTCGCCTCAGTAGACCTTGTCGAACCGCTGCCAGCACTGACACTTTCCATCCCGTCCACCTCATCCGCCTACTCCTCACCGGCCACCTCGCCCTATCCTTTGGACACACCACAATCCTCTCCGATCTCCTCACCGCATCCAGGCCTGCTACTGCCACCACCATGCAGCACTCGACGTAGCCGCTCGCTATCCAATGCATCCAATGCATCCACCTCATCTTCCGTATCCGCTGCATCCACCTTTTCTCTGCCCGCGTCAGCATGTTCTTCGCGCCGTCTTTCTGATCCACCTCTATATTCTCTAATCGATCATCATCAACATCAACACCAGCTGCAACAGCAACAGCAACAACAAGAAGAGCACCACTTTTACAACCACCACCAAAATCAAGAACCCCAAGGACATCATCACCATCGTCACGACGCCCCCTCAACTTCTTGGCAAAGACCGAAATCAGCATCCCCGTCCCTCCCAGCCGCCAGCTGTCCTCCTCCTTTTGTCGCCAAACGGAAACGTGGCCGTCCGCCAAATGCTTCTCGCCAGGTCTCACAGCGTGATTGTTGGACGTTTGTCACGCCAACAGTGTGGGAGGTCAAACAACATCAACAGCAGCATATGACAGATAAAGACAACAGCAGTGACAGTGACAGCAATAGTTTTTGTAACCATGCAGCAGCAGCAGCAGCAGCATCTCCGTCATCGATATCCAGCGCGAACACCAGCGACAGCAATATGACAGTCCTCTTATGGCCCGAAGAGCCTCGACGGAATAAAGGCTTAAACACGTTTACCAGCACTCGAATGGACAGCACACTCAGCATCCCAAAGAAAAAACGAGGTCGTAAACCCAAAGTACAACTGGCAGGGAATTCCTGTTTCGTTTGGCGCGACTTGACAGCTCGCCGTGGTGCCAATCGCAAACACAGAGCAAATACCTCCTCAACAACTTCTGCTGCTGCTAGCACTACACCAGCAATGGGGGATGAAGATCGATTAGCTCATCGTGTTGAGAGTATTAAACTGAATCCAGCAACGCCAACGTCACCTAGTTAAGCTTCTATATTCATTCTCTCCGTTCTCCTCCTACTTGACTTTCTGAACCCGTTACCTGAGATATATCTTCCATACCATATATAGTTTGTACTTTTCTTTTCTACTTCTTTTTTCTTGTTATCTCTCTCTCTCTCTCTCTCTCTCTCTCTCTCTCTCTCTTCCTCTCTCTACTATCCGCGCAACCAACCCACTTTTGTACTAAATATGACCCCGTCTTTCTTTACCATTGTTATGCGAGAGTTAAAATATGTATACTTGCTTTTTGTATCTAATATTAATATGATGCTATGGAAAAAAATTGCTACTTGATTGGACATATAGCTATGAATCAAACTTATTATTAGTCTCGCTATATCTTTATCTGTCATGTGCATTATGGTGTTTGGTTGGGATGTCGATCGTTAAACTATCAATCACTCTATAATTATATATAGATACTGTAGCATCTCATTTAGCTTAAACAATTGCCTTTGCAGTATCGCATCAACCTCCAGAAATAGCCTAGTGGTAGCATTAACAACACAAGGAAAGCGGTTCGCTAAATACGTATTGGTGTTACCCTCAAGGATACGCTATATACGTTCCTTTTATACCATACTTTCAACCAATATACAATGCGATCATGGATGTTCTTCGGCCAATTATAGACAAGCAGATGGTTACTATTGATGGAGAGATACTCAAGGGAGACCACACATTCAAGTTTTTGAAGAAAGTTGCAAAAATGGGTGACGCACCGACTTTAGGCGCTCTTTATACAAGTAATGAGTATGAGGAGATACGAATGTAATTGCTAGTCCCCACAAAAGTCATTATCGCATTTACAGACGCCTTTTCAAACATACGCCATGCACTGGTATAAACCACCGCAGCTATTTTTTACTGACACCGACCGGGGAGACAAGGCGTTCCTACCTGATAATATCAACTCATTGAAGTTCGGTCCCAAGATTAGCAGTTTGACTTTAACTGAATCTACCCGCGACAATCACATATTACACCTGCCAACTTTCATTACCAAGCACTACATGCGCATTGAAACCGAAGCTGAAGAAAAAATTACGAACACCATCTTGTGTGAAATTGATCCCCAAACGAGTGTAATTGGTTTGGATTGCGGCTGGAACTTCAGTCGACATGCTTCCCCTGGCAAATGGCAATTCAACAATTAGTAAACAAGGTCTTGCCTCTGTTCTGTTACACTGTCGTTACAGCTTCACGCTAACAAAATAACTTGTGGTTTAGAGCTACGTCTTTATCCTGCCAATTCAACAGTATAATAATATTCCTCCTTCTATCGAAACTCTTCTAAAGTCGTCCAAGGTCCTAAAAGCTGGCCGTAATGTTAGTGGTGACTTAAGAAAAATTAAAGCGCGACTACGGACTAGACTATCATGAAGGCACGGGGTTGGAGCTCGGCAAGTTCTCTCGTAGACGAGGCTTCATTGAAAATGGAAATGTAGGACTATCTACAATTGCTGAAGAAGTACTTGGGGGTAGGAAGAAAAAAATGATAGAGACAGCAACTGGGAATTACAAGATCTTTCCGAGAATCAAGTGTATTATGCAGCGCTGGACGCGTGGGCGTCGTTGGCGATATATACAAAGCTTGTGTGTTTTCGTACACTGGGTAAAGCCGTACTAAATCCTCCTCCGCATGGTGGGTGCGTTGCTATTTATTCCCGTCTTCAATGTTCATTTCCAATTGCATATGGCGAGATATTACACAATAAGCAGCAGGTACTTTACGACTTACGTATTGTTTTTTGGAAGAAGAATATGATTCATTAACAACATGTGCTTCTCTTTATATATTACTAGATAACATTCGACGACAACATGGCATATATATCGATCAATCACGTTTGTGTTCCTGGCGCAATTCTTGACTCGCAAACTCAAAAAACTCTTATGGACTTTGGAGACCTCCCTTTTGCTGTGACAGTACCTATATCCATGCTACGATTCAAAAAAAAGTCGTTATGTCTATGGAGAGAACAACCACCGCATCAAGGCAATAACCCATCACAAGCCAACATACCTGACGATACGCACGATACACATCAGATAACCGACAGTATACCAGACGATAGTGATCAGGAGTCAGCATCTTCTTGTTCGACGTCAACATCACACGAAATCAATGACAACTCCAATGAACAAAGCACATCGAATATACCATGTTCCGACTCTTCGAACTTCAATTTCACAAATATTTATGTGCAGGATACCTAGGAGCAACTTGTATATTCGAGAATCCTAAAAGACATCTATCATTTCGTGGCACTAATCAAGATACCCAAGCGCATGTTCTCGCAAAAGAACTCTCCCGGCAACTACGCAACGCTATCTTTGTTGTGCACCAAGAAGATCGGCAAAAAGTGGAGCAATATCTAGCGACCAAAAACATTACATGGGAATACATGCTGAACACGGATCCATCTTGAGTTATGCGAAGAGTGAAACATATCGTCCCACCACCACACGAACTCGGTCCTAAAGTCCAAAATCTAGTTGCTGAATACAGTAACCTAATTTGCACCAGAACTGGAAGGATACTGTTTAAATAGGTCGCCCACCGTCAAGCCCAAAACATGCTCAGGGCGATATATGAGGCCAAGTTTCTTATCATCCCGATACGCCGCTGTACTATAAAATTAAATACGACAAAAAAGCACACCTTCCCCTTTATCGGTGTGCCCGTGGAACTAATTCTCTAGAGGGTGGAGTCCATCAAAACATTATTCGTGCTATTGGTTCTAACGGTGCCGGACCACATTTGGCTGATTGCTTTCTTGCTGAGTATCGACTTCGTCATAACTTGAAGGTAAAAGGTGATATCCACTGAATTCAATTAGTTTTGATATTGAGATACCTTATATATCAGGTCGGCACTATGAATCGATATTTACGTCAGTACAAGGGACATTATGATCCATGTTTGATTGAAGCATTGGTTTACTTACGGATGAAGCTTGGGATTTTTGGCACTGGTGGTGCTATTGAGGAGCAAGCGGATGCCCATGACCAAGGCTTGGAGCTGAAAGAGTGCAGCAAGACATTTGGTATTGCAGAATTTGCACCTGACGTTGCTCGCACACTTGGGATAGACATGTCTTCAGCAGAAGAACGAAACAACGAAGAGCATCGCGACCAAATGAATACGCTCAAACCTCGGCCATACTCTCTCAACATTAGTATCAACATCTTCTTGCCGCCTGGTTCTACGGCCAATCCTTTGAATAAGCGCTACATCTTTCTTGCTTAAAACAAGGAACAAAGTATGCTGTTACCCCTGTCCACACGAAGCAGGAATTCGAAAAGTTTCAAGAAATCATTTATGGAGCAGCTCAAAGAACTGTCGGTGCATCAGACTGGACCACATTGGCAAAGCTTTGGAACGCATCCACATCCAAGCCGGTAGATGGAGTAACAGTATTTTACAAGACACCAGATCATCTAAAAATGCTTTACAAGCGATGGAATGAGAGACGATTGACACGCGCTAGCAAAGCAATCAGCGATGGCATTTGTGAAACGATGAACGCAGAATTGATGTCACCAAGCAGGGGATATTCGGCATTACCTGCTAGCACACTGTCACCACCTCCATTTGCCCTCCAATCCATAGTACAAAGAGACCTGTCGAACTCGTTACCATCATCAACAGCAGTAGCTGACCCGTCATCAGTAACAACAACTATCTCATCATCAATACCAAACTCTCTCAGTGCATCACCATTAGGTTTTAGTCGCAATAGTCCTAGAAGAATTGCTTTGGCGCCATCACCAGTGTCTACACCATCACAACCACTGTTTACAATTAATGTAGTAATCCCCAAGAAACGAGCGCGCCGTAAAATTAAGTATTACAGGGATGCCAAAGACTAAGCTACACACCTTTGGAATCAAATACATATCATGTTATATTTATATCTTGTTATCTACACCACTATATACTTTTGCCGTCATCGATACCACTCAACAATAAACGTTTTTCATTTCATGCTGCTCCCAATAGCTTATCAAACTTCAATGGCTTTTTTATAAAAAAAACAACACTTCTTCCCTAGGAATATTACTAGGGCCTCTTTGTCGGTTATGTCTCTCAACACCACTGCCAGCTCCTCCACGTATCAGGTTTCGCAATTGGCTATGCATAAATCTATGAATGAAACGCACCGTGAAGCACTCGAAGAACGCCCAGCTAACACTAAGAAAACTTATGTCAATAAGCAAGCGGGAAACCGTAAATGGTGCGATAGAATGCTGCCACATTTGTCTGCAGAAATTCTTTATATTGTTCATGGCGACAAGCTTCATTTGTTTCTCATGAAGAGGTATGTACGATAATTGTGAATTATGCAACTTCAAATTTATAGTTTTGCTGTACTGCTTCTTAGCTTAATACAATCTCAATTAACAGGTCATGAACCTTGATTCTCGTCGCAAGGGCAAAGGATCGAACCAGCTCAAGAAAATCAAGGCTTCCACTATCATGAGCTACGTTGCCGCCATCGTCGATTTATATCAGCAACAAGTTCGTTCGTTTGCCAATAGTCATCCTCATCCACGTAGTGCTGTCAAGGAACTTATCGACCTCGTCCAAGAGTGCTTAGGAATGGCAGCCTTGAAAAAAGCAGGGGTCCACTGTATAAATATTGATCATTCTTCTTAATTGAACCAGTGTATCTATAGATAATAGCTAAGAAAATGAATTTTCAATAAGTCAGCGTGTCGAATATTGGCAAGTTTAGTCATGGTATATAAAGCTTCATGCTTGAATTCAACTGAATATAACTCTATATTGAAACTTATATCATATATACATCAATTACATCTAGGTTAATTTCCAATATAGATTAATGATTGTTTTTGTCATTGTTATATCAATCCTACAGAGAAAGAAAGAAGGAAACAACTGAGCTTACTATGTATGAGAATTAATTCTTATTATTTAAATATAAGAGATAATCATTGATTATCCTTGTATTATTAATCAAGAGTATTTCCTTTAGTAGGGAAGAATATAAAAAATATAAATAATCAAAGATAAAAAAAATTAATTAATTATTATATAATTTT